TTGGATGAAGTCGCAGTAACCGTACGATAGATGAACAAGCTAAATTTGGAACAATGCTAATTTACTCGTTCCAGAAGAAATTCCTGTTCTTCCTACCGACTTTAATGATAAATTCAACAGGTTCGTGCGAAAGCTTCACTAGTTACCGTAGTGCAAGTCATTTTCTTTCAAGTGGATGATATTTTTAGAAACCTATTGGAAAACCTAGCGTAAACGTGTATCGTTTAACACAATGGCATCAAGTAAAGCATATTATTTTAATGCCGCTACGAAAAAAATAGCTGACGAGTGGGTAAAACAACCATATTAATATTTTGTTTAAGGTGAACTAAAGAAATAAGTGAGCCTGAACATTTGATCAGGTAATGTGGATATGTCTGACATAGGCTGTGTCATGTCACAGCGCCCTCTTTTGAGTAGTAACGCAAGTAGCGAAGCATGTTTCGTGCCCCTATCAGGAAAAATATCTCCGAGGGCCAAGGAGACGTCGGTTTTTGACATATCTTTGCTATTTCCTGTTTTTCATGCGATGCAACAACTATGGTTCTTCGTTTCCTAGACGTTCTGTTGCGTTGAATCCTTCGACGATTTTTTAGTGTAGCGCAGTTGGCAATTTCAAACGAAATGCAGCTGTATAGTAGCTTCAGTAACATTTTTGCTTGCTTCACCGATTAGTCTCCTTCCATCCAATGCTGCTGCAATATATGCAATGACTTCATCATACTCAAAATATTTGAGTAAGTCATCGTTATTTGGGTTTCCTATACCTTTTCAGAATTGTCACTTAGCTGAAGATGTCGTATCGTTAATTATCATCTGTATTTTTATTTCGCCAAACACGACGTTTCTGTAATAAATAAAATAACAAGATAAGTTGTATTATGGTGTCGACAATCGGTTACAATTAGGATTTCTAAGTGGAATACATATTAAGATATTCGACTCAGAGTCTACTAAAAACGAAGTCTTTAGGTACAGACATGAAAAAAGTAAAAGTTACAGATTCCTTTTGTAAAAATGTTATTATAGAACGATAGTTTTATACCAGATACGTATTGCGACCGCCTCACTAACAGTTTGTTGCGATTATTTGTCTGGCTAGCTAAAAAACAATATGGCATAGCAGAAAAAGGTGGTCCATGCTAAATAATATGAAAAAAAAGCTCTCACAGGTTTAACCGCCGCCGAACTTCCCTGCAGCACAATTATAAAAAGGCAAAGTTTCTATCAGGTAACTTAGATCAGGTTCATTGATTTGCCTGTTAAATACATGGCGTTAGTCAGACGGAGGAAAATATTACCTGATATGCCTAATCAACCTGCTAGTACATAATTGCTATAGCTATTGGAGACTATTGATGTTCGAGGGCGGAAGTGGCAAAGAAAGTGAACAGGGTCACGACTCCGGTTTCTATTTGGCTGTTACTAACAATTGCCTACATCTTGACTATAGGATGCGTTCGCAACTATAAATCGGAACTATATATCGGAAAGCGTCTGTAAATTGTAGATGTGAGTGACGGACAAACATTATAGACCTTCATGTTGACAGCACCATATACTAAGTGTTACGCGAATCGATATTAACAGTAATAGGACGGCATCGTCGATATTAAATCAAAGGAGAAAAAAAACGGTAGTGAACTTCACAGCAGTGCGAAATTAGTTCTTCAAACATACAGCAGTCGAAAAAATCGGGTAGATCTTAACAATCTAATGAGATAGCTACAAATATTATTATTCTCAATTACGACAACGATTCTGTGGTAACTCTGTATGCCAGCCAGTGGACGAATAGAAATCAAGGCTGTCTGAGAAGTCTAGCAAGCGGGAGAGGCTCCATATTGGAGCAGCTTGTCCCTTTTGGCTTCAGCGCCGTCCATTAAGTTTCATAGAAGTATGTTCACAAGGACCTGTCTATGTCCACGCGAACAGTGTATTGACAGTTCAATGACCAGACACAATAAATGATACCTGCGCGTTCGCGTATCTGTATGCTTGCGTATAGTAATGACACGATATGAAGACTACATGGTACCTCTTTAAAAGAGAAGTAATTGCAATTTGGGGAGATCGCCGCCAATGTCAAATGCGTAAACGTTGGCATCACACGGTTGAATCAGTGAAATGTCAACAGTTTGGTGACCTTGTCCATCGAAAAATCAAAGGCCACCTCGTAATTTAGATTCAAAGACGTCCTGGTGCAGGTCATAGGCCATTCATTTCATGCGATCAATCACCTATAAGGTTGTATGAATCGCATCAGGCTGTACAGATAGAGCCGTTTACATTTGGAAGGCGATGAAACAACCGCGAATTGAAATAATAATAGGTAGTAGGATGCGCTGATACCTCTGATAGTAAAGCCTGAACACAGCCAGAGATTCGCCGCTTTTGTTGCACTAAGGTGCGGACCCATATGTCAAGAGAAAAATCTGCGAATCTTCTTCAATGAAGTGATTCGAACGTTGACTCTGTCTGTCAGTGTTCGTAGCTGGAGCCATTGGAGTTGAGACGAAATTTTTGTTACGCATCATGGCGCATTTATTGTCCGTGGCATGATTCCCCGTCGTCACAAAGCTTAATTAGGGAGAACTATTATTCATGTGGTCATTGCTCTCAGAAACGGTCACTATTCACGTTTAAGACAGTAATTTAAGATAGTAGATTTAAGACAGTAACAAGTCCGAAAATCTGGTAAAATTACGCGTATAACTTTGCGTACGGTCAGGGAATTGCTCATTGCTCGATAGAATCTTCGCCTCGATGATGGGCGCTGTGGACGAACTAGGGCCATCGAATTGATTTGTTACGCTTCATCGAAAGGTACGCAGTTGATACTAACGTCAAACAATGTAAAGGATTGTTTGCGATCTAGCTTGATTCCATATAGTAGTACGGAGTAGACATTATGCTGGCACGCGGTCCAACTACATGGCTTTAAATTTCCCGTATCTAAAACTAAAGTCAATCTTTTACAAGAACCTTATGTAATCGTAAAAAAAAAATGTTTAATTTCGGTCTTTTCCTATTCGTAGGCAGCTAATCAATATTCCCATGATGGCTGAGCGGTAACGCTTTTGCCTAAACCTGAAGGCATATGAAACTGCCTAGATTTTCAAAACCGCTCGTCAAGGTTTTTGATTTTGCGTTAGGGGTCCAGCTTGCCAGTAATGGTACGATATTAATCCTTAAATATTTAGACAGTTGCTCGGTAGTCGCTGGAGCTATTTACGCTTGAAGTATAACACATTCGTTTATGATTATTATCTGACGGTTTAAGTCATCTAATCTTAAGGTAAATTAAAATGTATAGTGTATTAAATAAATTAGCATTTAGTCCCGGGCATAAGGGCAAAATTACGTACCAAACTGTACGTCATTACCAAGTCCGGCCATTTTGGACAAGTCTAAGGAAGCGTGTCGATCACCGTTTCGCCCACCTATTACCTATTGGCAACCGGCCCAGTTCATTTAATCTCTCATTGACTGACCCAAGGTTTCTAACGGAACCCATCGCAGTAGAAAAAGACTTCGTACAAATAGCGGCAAGTGGTTGAAACTAGCGAATCCTATGCGACCCAATGTAGTGGCATGTATCGCATTTAACGTAATTCAGAGATGGTCATGTTTTCTTGCAAAAAGCTGAAGGCAGTTGTGAACCATCAGCATTGTTAATTTGGAACTATACATAAATGGAGTATTATACATTAAATGCCAAGTAACCTTTTCCATTGATGTTTCGTTCATGGTATTATTAGTGTAATTGATTGATCATGTTGCTGACATGACTGATTGAAGAAAGTCGATGTAATATTGTTTCTATTGGCCTACAACCTTACAGCGGGTGCGCCGTGGGGGGCTATTGTTGGATGCAAATGTTCTTCGCGCACATACGAATCAAAATCATTTAATGCGAAGATCAGTTCAAAACCACTGCTCGGTCTTTCTAATATAATGGATGTGACGCGAATCCTCAGAAATCCCAGTGCTTTCTATGAATCATTATCGAACATCCCGGTTTATATGTCTGCTATTCCAGGCCCTAAATATACAAAACAAAGCATCGCTCGTCATATCGTGCGGACATATTACTACTGAAGAATAACTGATTATGGTAGAGATAAGTGCAAGAGGAACTGTGGGACATTTAGTTACTGCTAACTTCAATAGATTTAAAAGACAGAGTTAGTTCAAGTCGAGTTCGTTTGTTGTGAAATCTGTTTAGTACAATGATTTAGGTGTATTTGGGGGAAAGATATTTTACATCCAATACATTACCCGTGTTATGACGACTAAAGGCGTTGAAAGAACAGAGAAACATATTTTTTCATATATCGTTTAGGTGTTAGTAGGTGTGAAAGTTATTTAGAAGATGTCTATTTATTCGAAGATTTAGAAGTTACGTGACACGCTGCGGCTTACTGGCTGATAGGACTTTTACCACCTTTGAATCAAAGATTCGCGGATTAAATTTTTTTTACACGACATAGCCAATAGTACACACTACGCGATGATCACTATAAATGATTGACCCGTTGGAAAACATATTACGCGCCTACCAGGAAATATCTAATAGCATTTTGCGGTAAGAAATATTCGTAATTATATTACGAGGAAACAAGGGCCATCAGTTCGTTTATCTGTTAGTTATATGATTCATCTGTCATCCCCACTATGGGTTTTAGTGGTGGAAATTGTGTGATCGACAGCATTAGTTCCATCACATGTTTTCAAACCTATCATTTCATAGGAAAATACGAATAATATACGAAAATAGGAAAAGACGAAATTTGATTTCGTTTTCAATATGAATTACGTTGATTATTGTTCTCCGTCATCTGAATTAGCTTAATGTTCCCGAGTTACATTTATTTTATGTCGCGGCTAATTCTTCAAATCTTTATTTTCTACTGAGAAGATTTATTCAAACCAAAATGGCTTTCATCATTTTCATACTAACGCGAGGCGCAACGTACGCTTCTCCTGTCTGATTTCAGCGGATCCCCTTCTCAAGGCGACCAATTGTGAGTGCCACACGGATCGTTGCAATGGCTCTTTGACAACAGCTGGTTATAGTTCGATCGTTTTTGTCGTTGCGTGTCTCTTCGTTGCCTTTCTACAGCGTCAATAGTAACAATAGTCACGCCTCAGCAGCTACTATCACCACAACGCCATGACGAGCAACAGTTTACCTTATGAACGACGATAAATCTCAGATTCCACTATCATTGCCATATATATACATATATATGACAAACAATTTTGATCAACAAAATAAAACACGATTATACATATAATTTTTCAACTTACCTATAACATGAACTTATCCGGAAAAGTTTGAATGGAAATCGCTCATGACTGTTCTTGCGTTCGTTCCAAAAATGGTTTTACTTCCGAAAAAAAAATTGCGACTTCTCTCCGATTAATGGGATAGTGCGCTCATTTCTCATTTACATAAGTTAATAACAGCCACCTATAATGGCTTTTTTTTTTAATATAGGGTAAACCTGTCATTGACACCAACTGATACTGGTGTTATTACGATCGTGCAATAAAGATAATGTTAAGTGTGATTTCACGAGGAAACGCACTGGAGTAGTAGTATACAATTAGAATCTAGTTTCGTATTAGGACTATTTAGTTAGGACTATAATACAGGAATATAAAGACTGCATACATCGTTCCACACACTTACGCAAGGTGCGCTTCTGTTCGCTTTATTTGTTGATGTACTGGAGATTCCTACCTACATAATTCATCTCGAAGTGGTGGGCGCTGTACTTCGCAGTTAAGCTGGCGCCCGTTATCCAACAGTTGCATCGACAACTCCGAATCTTTCTATCGGTATTACTAGGAGAACTTCTCAATATATTATGTAAATAAAAATGTGTCGAAAGAATTTACAACCTAAGTGACCAGTCATTTTCTATTATTGTCAGTTATTTTATTTCAGCTATAATATTGCTTAGAAATGAATACAGTGGAACCATTGCTAGTTTCGTAGGAGTCCCAACATGAAACATGAATTAGTGAAAATCAGAGGAAAACGACGTACCTTAATCGTAAAGTTTGGTTCTAAAGACAGTTCAAAGACCACTGTGACCGATGACAATTAAGCAGGTTAAATAGGGGATAAGGGCAGACTGTTGGACTGTCAATCTGACGGCACTGGTAAAGGCTTCTTAGAGGAAAACTAGAAATAAGAAACAAATTCAAGCGACTGTGACTTATACAATCTCTTTCGTAAAGGTGACGACGCCGTTCCGGGTTCACGCTTGGATCAGAGCCTTTGAGGCTTTTTTAAATTTTTATTTTCCCGCCTATTTTTTTTAAAACACATTTATGGCAATATTGGTAAAAAAAAAAAGCCAGAATGACCCTACATTCGAAATTGTGCTAGCACTGTATTTGCCATTTAGCATTATTAGTTCAAACGGCTAGTTCCTGCGCTGATAGTTAAGATTAGTAGGCAAATTGTTACCGCTGCTTAAGTCACGATTCACATATTTTTTACTTTACTAGGCACACGCTGTCGCTGCGACAATCGTCATGGCTGTAAAACTGTATCAGAGTCTACTTTTGTTCAGACCTAATCGTATTTGAGAAATTCTATGAAGGTGTTAGACATGTCTCCCGCCATTTATGGAAATTCGCAACTTTGCGAACTGATCTGATTGACGGCTGATTAACAATCGATCGCAAGCGGACGCATCGAGCAATCACCGCGCTGAATGCGTCCGCTATTTGACATTTCGCTTTTTGCATCAAGGCTCTCGAAACTCTTTAAGCGTTACCCGAGTGCTTTTGTAATATTAAAAAAGTAAGATATTATTTTTTACGTGCTCGCTGACCATCTAATATTTCTTTGGACAATATCGTTATTAATACAAATTGGACAGCTATTTTTAAAATACGTCAGTTACAAGCACAACGAGGTAAATTTCAACCCGTTGTCAACAGGGTCCATACAATCTTGTTGATGCTAATTTAAGAATGACAAGACGCTGGGCCATTTGTCCCGATAAATTTTTATCAAAAGTACATGAAAGCAAAAAAGTATGAGACGAAGCAGTTTGGATTAAAGCTACCTTTGCTGGGGGCCGTCTCGTACAACTGGTACCAAACATTATCCTTGGCAATTTTACCGCTCTGCCTATCGAACCCAAAAGACGCTTTAGTAATTAAACACTAAAAATCATGGATCTAGAATGAGCAAAGTTCACTTTTGTCCTGTCTCTTAATTTCGTCGTCTTAAAAAAGGACGCGCACCTTTGATAATACAATGCAAAATATCAAGTAGTGTCCAATTTATAAAGAGCAAGATTTGTTCGAAAAATAAATACTCGCCGTCTGTTTTTACACGAACGCTTCGACAGGATATCATTTCAGGGAAACTGACAAAATTCACTTTTCTGTTGGTTAGTTTTAATTATTCTATTTGTAAGGTTTTAGAGTGCTCGAAAGTCAGTTTGACCCATAGTTTTAATCTCGCTCTTTATCGCTAATTATAATCTCATTAAATTGATGTAGCTGTGGTATAAAGTAGAAATAATCTTACCTTATAATGCTTGTAATTAATTAAATGTGACCAATGCTTCACATTTACTCAGTGCTATAAAAATATACTGTTTCGTTATACTCTATTTCGTCCTTATCAAAGCATCGGCCTTTCTTTAAAATCAAAACTCAAACAGAAAGCAATTCCCGTAGCCGGCTCACGTTTACGACAGTCGGATAAAAGCTGTTTAACTTTAAGATTGGCCTCATAGCGAAAACACTCAATAGTTGATATTGGTTTGAGTCCAGCCATTTGGTTCCCTGATAATCAGTAGCGCATCGCAGAGTAAAACGTTTCTTTCGACCGTTTTGAAATGATATTACGGAGTTTATGTTCGTATCTCGAACTAGTTGTGGTCCCTTGTACTTCGTAGTAGCCATAATCGTACGAAACGTCACGAAAGATAATTCATTGCTATCCATCAGCACACAAACGCACATACCTATTACGAGTGCTATATCCGCTAGCGTTCCTGTGCCGTCGACGACCCATGATAATTTCGAACTTCAATTTTCTATCTACCGCAGTACAGCCCGTGTGTTAAACACGCTATTTTCGAACTTGCTTCTCAGCCAAGAGTTTAGATACAGGCTGTTGCTGAACGCAGTAGCTGAGACGTAACGTGGGTTACGTAACAACGGCGTCTGGAAGAAACCGAACCAGCTGGTATCATGTGACACTTTGACAAGTCACTATTTCACTCGCAGTCATGTTGGCTGCGGAAATGACGTCTTAAAGCTACTGATAAAACTGAAAAATGGATGAGTATTTTCTACGCTACCATCCATTGAGGACCAATACTTGTAGTATGTTGTAACGTACGCTCCTTTTTGTTTTTCTAGAAAGTAAATCGTTTTAGATTGGCCACCAGCAACCATTTTATACGTGCTTAAGAATTGTTTGATACTATAGTTGAGTTAAGATAATGCAGACTGCTACACAGCTCAATGCATAGGGCTCGTTTCTGGCGTAGTTGCATCTGTAGAAAGATACAAATATTTCCGTTCTACTAAACTTTGAATTAAATGAATTAAATGAAAATTAAAAAATGAATTAAATTAACGGAATGTTTCCGTCTCAGCTGTATACCGTCGATGTATTTTGACTTGTCATAGAATTAAAAAGTGAGCAGAGCCACCTTAGCGGGGACTAAATGCATTTAAAAACTACGGCGCCTACCATGACTTACACCCGCCGCAGTAGATCGTAAATGCCCTTCACATGTTTTAGAACATGAACGGCCTTTTCTAGGGACTCTCGGGGCTAACGAAGCTAAAGAAATACAAAGCTACTATGGCCCTACGTTGAGTGAAAGAATGCTTCTTCTTGGGGTCGAAGTGGTATTAAAATAAGGCTCAATTGACAACTAGGCCTAGAAAAATACTGGGCCCCAATGTTAAAAACGCTAGCTAAAGCCCCACACATCATGGCAAACTCGCTTACAAGTGAGGTGTGGTACCGTAATCAGGATTTACACATTAACCGCTGATTTCTTTTGCTCAGGTTAGATATGTAATAACATCATCAATTTCCCGGTTGTACAAACGGTTATAACACAGCTAATTTAGCTTCTTTCGTGAATGATTAACTGTTTAATAAACATCTAATTGAGACTTTCGGCAATCTTTTCATTGAAGACGTATGTTAGAAGAAGAAAATTTAATAAGTTTCAATTTTCTAACGCAATCCACGTTATGCTCAAGAGATCCATATTGAACTGGCGTAGTCGACAGTAGATTTCTTCTACTATTTTTACAAAAAAAAACTGTTAGCAGCTAACAGTTTTGAAGCTCAATTGTGAACAAGTATTTCGATATTTCAAAGTAAGGTTACTATACTAAATATGCGTCGTTTTAGTTGGTGGCTCTGTCGTTTTTGTTTTAACATATAATTCCATCACTGTAGAACCTCAATTTTGAACCCGACTGGACCCTCATTTTCGCGTTCCTCTATTGAAATTAAACTATATACCGTTCATGGAAGTTCTGCAGAGACCGAAACTAATGATAGTCCAGTGGCGCAAGATCCAGGGCATATGTAATACACGTCGAAATTTCCCGTCCGAGTTCTCTCGATTTCTACCAGGTAGAATTGCCACATTGTCGTGGTAGAAGACGGCGTCCTTTCCATTCACTACGTATAATCGATTTTTTAAGGCTTATTATAAAGTCTTGTTAGCTGTTGCCAGAGCAGGTCCGAGTCAATCGTTTCGTCAGACGGCAGTACTTAAAATTGCTTTCCAGTTCCACCGAAAACACAGAGCTTAGGCTGAGGTCAAAGAAAATTATGCTATTTTCTTTGACCTCAGCCTAAGCTCTGCCACACATATAGACACATACAAGCACGGTTTTTTTGGTCTGCATATTATTGCCGCATGTGATTCAATTTCCATCATCCACGATCAACTGTGTTAAAGATGGCCCGACCTCGTTACGTTTCTGTAGACTTCAGTTCACAAAAGAACGATTAAGCGAATTCTTTTGCGCCAATTCGTGTGGCACCCAAACACCGAGCTTGTTTTTAATGCTAGCTCCCTTCAAATATTTTAGAAATGTTTAATGGGTATTTAGTTTTTCGTCGATATCATGACTACCCACGTCCAGGTTCTGCTAAACCTCTAATTTTAATAAGCTATAATTTGAGCAGCTTTTTCCGTACTTAGTCGACCACTACGAGAAGCTCCTTTCACGCCGAGGTTTGCAGGACGGACACGATTGAACCGTCTTTGAACCGTTCTTTACGATAAAGCGCCGGGATTACTAACAGCAAAGACCCATCCGGCATGCATATACTGCTGCCTTTATAGTAATAGAATTGTAAAGTACAGCGAATTTTTGCGGAAATTGCGCTTATATTCAAGACGTTCGATCTTGAAACTGAGTCAACACATTCTCCGCTTTCAAATAACACTAAGGCCGACTCGACGCCATATTACTCTCGATATGTGACATCTAGAACAACGGTCATTGCTCTTCTGCTAATCTATTATACTGACAATGGTGTATCCGTTAAATGGCTTCCTTCTGCTTCTTGTAACCAATTTTGCAGTACCGCTAGAGCTAGAATAATTTCGAATAATAGTGTTCAGATGTTTAGCCAAGAATTCTATAGTATATTCAATAAATACATATATACATTATATACCGCTTTCTCTATCGACTGTTTATTGCATATGTTGGTTTGCGTACGCAGATGCACTCGATAATTTCTACAAAAATCTATTGCAAAGAAAACAAACTGGTGGTTTATTGGTAAAACGCTAAAAGTAATTAAATAATTAATCTGCCAGAACAATATATATAAACTTGATGAGCGAATGCTCGAACAGCTATGTTGATAGGTTCATTTATAAATCAATCTATAATACAAATATGGACATTTATGTTTATATCATGCATAACGGTAGATCTTCGACGTAGGACAAATAAAATTGACAACGGCGGAATAACCCAACAAATTCACAGGAAATGATGTCTATGAACCTCAAGGTAATCTTTTGTAAAGGTAAAAGGTATGTCAAATTTAGCATTACTGTTATGAATAATATTATCACTATTATTATGCACGTAAATATAATTTTTTTTAAATAATAATTATTATTATTATTGATTGTACACGCGCAGCTATATATTAACTAGCCTACAGTCGCTAACATATTTACAAATTCACAAGGAAAAATTAGTCATGCAAAATGCGTATGCGTTGTTTGAACAGTCTCTCAGACTTTTAACTTCTGCTATTCACTAATGAACGATTTTTTCAGATGTATCCAAATGCAAAGCAGACATGGCAATACATCCCATTGCATCCAGAGGACGCTCTTGACTTTATCCCGTTGTCGGGTGAATACTGCGGTCGCGAAGGTCAGGGTCAGGCGTTTGTCACATACGAAACCCTTCTTTTATGGCCATGAGATCACTGCCTATTAACTTTGTCTACTAAGCTTGTGTTGGAATAGAATATACGATCTGTTCATCAATCAGCAGCCAACGATCAAAACTTTGTAGCTTCTCTCCGATCGTAAGAGCTTTCCCCAAAACCGGAAGATGTGTTTTTACTCCAACAAGCAGTGCTTATGGCTTCGATGAACAATGCGCTTCTATGGATACCTTCAGAAATAGGCTATCCCTCGTCAGATGATACTCTATATTTTAGAATATTGTATAGACAGCACACTTGAAATCGCAGTGCCCCATATCTACAAAACATACATGTTGATAAATGATCGCTTCCACCGAGCTGCCGTTCGTGAGATTCTGATCCACAGCGACCAGACGGTCATAATTCAATCATCAATTAAGTTAAGGGACTCGTGGCATAACTGCGGAAATCCAAACTTTTCTCAATCCAATCGTCGAGATTGAAAGAGCGCGATGCCTCCAGGATGACGTTCCAAGCTGTTCAGTTTATGAAGGTGTCTAGTGTCCTGAAAAATTAGGCTGTGCTTTGACTATTGATCATTAAGAATTTTCTTCTTCATGCAGGTGACACGACATTTTGTGGACCACCATCCGAATCGACATCTACCACAATTCCACCTGGGTCTTTCGCAGCAACCTAGAAGGTACCAATAAACACAAAGGTTTGAGCTCCTTGAACTTTGTTTATTCTTTAAGGAAACGATCTGGCATAATATATTTTTATCGATAGATAGTTAATATCATATTTAATAGAGGGTTCCATTCTCTGTAATACTACAAGCACGTGAGTCTATTCTATTTGGAATTACGAAAGATTGATCCATTTTTTGGCGCAACCCCCTTAGCACTCTGCTAGAAGGCATCCTGTACTAAACATCATGCTTACGTCAGCTCATGCTAAATGGAGTGATTCGAAACTAGTTCCCATTTTGTAGTAATAGTTTAACCCGTAAAAAAGTATGTAAGTAGTTTCCAAAACCAATGGACTGGCAACAAATTAACTCTCTTTAGTTACTGTGAGTAGAATTTTCGATCTAATTCTAAGTCATTATTGAAATAAACAGTGTTATAGAGCTAAAATTCATACCTCTAATAAGTAGTTGGAGTCTGTAAGCGCCTGTTTCGCTAGATAACGCTCACGTCGCACCTGAACTGTAATATCATGAGGTACGTCGGGTACCAATCCATCAATCACCCGACAAATAATAAACACCACATGCTGAAAGATTAAAAAAAATACGCTAGTATGGAACGTATTCATATATGTGCACATATTTATGCCTGAAAAATGTTCAGCTTCAACATGAAAATGGCATAACTCATCAAAATATTCTAGAGACGTAAATAAATTTAAGAATACTCGTAAATATTTCAGCCATGTGGGAACGTCAGTTTATGGAACTGTTTAATACAATGGTTCATGTAAAGGAATGTTAACGTGGAAAAAGTGCTGTAGATCATTTAGTGGTCTTACACTTAGTGGTCACAGTAGCAAAAATTTAAAAATTGGGGGTTCGAGTTGATTAACCATTTAACTTGTTTACTCGATATGGACTTTTTTTTTGTTTTCTAAGCTCAAGATCTCGCTCGCAGGACAAATATTTTTAATCAAACAATAAGGCCACCACATTTATACGCGTACTTCGCCATGTATGATGCCAACTATTATTTGGACGAATTAAAAATAGGGATGCATCGCTGAGAGAAAGATACTTATAATAATATTATGTTAAGGAATAACACAGCATTTGAGTAAAAAAAAACAAAAAGCCTTGTTTCTGGGTTAAGCTGTAGGCTTTTAGATTATCTACTTTCTTTTTTACATGCATACATGTATTAGATTATTACAAACGAATCCGATAGACTTTAAAATTGAATAACTTTTGAACTGCTTTTGAACCTCCACCAAACGAAATTCAGCTGATGAATACCCCAGTCGTCTAGTAACTGACAAATACCCTTTAATTTTGAAAATAGGTTGATAGTGACCAAGTTTTTTCCTTCGAAGGTTATAATGTCGCGTAAATTCATCGAAGGTTAATGAAGACATTAGGCAAGAAAGCCTTAAACGAAGGCATAGTACTTAAATGGTGCAAACGTTTCAAGAACGAAAATTGGATTGTTGAAGACCCGCAAGAAGATGACCAGATGTCGAGACCTTAAAGACAAGAACGTACTGCCGCAGTCGGGGGGGCACTTCACGAAATAAAGCACTGACCCCGCGAATCCGGTCGACCAAAACTAGCATTTCACATGTAATGTGTTCCAAAATTGTATATATATATATATATATATATATATATATATATATATATATATATATATATACATTTCATGAGCTAACTCCAGGTCAATTGAAAACGCGTGTTCCACGAGTAACTTTGGATTCAGACTTAAGGAAATAATAGGACTCGCAATGGGCGTCAGGCCAACCTACTGTTACTACGAGATTTTTGCCATAGGTGAAACAATGAATGGGATCCGCTATCTGAAGTTTTTTAAGACACCTTTGAGCCGCTGATACGGCAACTGAAAACATACAGTCCGTTTACTCGCTTGCCGTAATTACTTCCTGAATTGAGTAAAAAAATATCGTTAATTTCAACCCGCTTATTTTAAATTAGATACATATGACTACTGGGCTTTCCATGTGTTAAAAAAGCTAATTGGTAGACAAGCATACCCTATTATCAATCTACCTCAAGAAGCTATAGATAGAGAAGTTATATAGGAATTTGAATGGCAAGTATATGGCAGTCAAGAAGTTCTCAGAGTACCCAGTCATATGCGCGAAAACCAAGAAATAAATTCCTAATACATAATTGTAAACCATAGTTCTAGCTCAATTAGTTCAGATGTCCTTCAATACTTACAATACAAGTCCGCTCAATGCGCTTATGACAGTCTATATGTGCTTACCGTCATGACATCCCAAAGACAAAACAATCACAATGAAGCATAAGCACCGTGAGGTTAAAAAAACGATGTCAGCTCTCAATTTTTTTGACTTGTTTAGTATCTTTAACGACAATAATAGCACGATTAGTTACAAGATCGATATTTGGAATGTTAGGAATGTTGGGGTCAAAATTAAGCTGAAAACTGCAATCTTGCTTTTTGTATTTAAAGAGATGGTAAATTCTACCTCGAAAACCAGCACAAATGTGAGTCGGGCAACCATCAGTCGCCAATAGAAAGGAGTGAGGTTCCCTTCCAAATCCCGAAAATCCCTGTGATGACAAAATAAACAGAAATTAGCATCCTAAAAGTCTAAACGGAATAGTGTTATGGAATATTCATAGGCTTCTATTATATATCAAGGATGCAGGCAGACCTAACCGCTTATAAAAGGCGTACCTACACCATTCTGAAGTTGTTAAATCAAAGCGCTTACTTATACATGCAAGTTTGTGAAGCTGTCCCCGGGGGTGAAACGCTGAGTGTGAAGTTCAAGTATCCACTGAGACCCCTACTGAAACTGTAGCGATACAGGATTCGCGTAAGGAAGTCAGAGGTAAAGGCGATTAAGAACGCCTGCAAGACAACGACCATCGCGCGACCAGTCAAGTCACAAGTTATAAATCAGTTAAAAGTAAAAAAGCCACCAAATAAAGAATCGAACCCTAGGATAAGTCAGTTTTTGTCTTGCTCTAACTTGGGTAGATTTATTATGTCTTGATCCAACAAACAATAAATAACTGTTTAAATGGAAGGTGCTCACTCACTAAGCTTAGTCTTGGCACTGGGGTTTCGAGAGTAAAATAAGTGAAGATGACTAGTTAAACGCAGTTTGTAAGGTAAGAACAAAGACTTGTTCGCTCTACTCACATTGCTAATGATGGCTATGCAGGCAATAAACTCGAGTATAGTTAACCATATACCGATGTTCTGCGCGCGTTCGGGTACGACGCGGCGGGTTTGACAAAGTAACTTTTGGGCATCAACTCTGTGATGGAAAACGAGTCAAACAGCACTGCCTTAATTACGAGTGAAAAAGAAACGCGTGCATTTTTACATCAGGTTTTCTTTTTTGCCGTTGGTCCAAGTGGTATATGCAGCCGGAAAGCCTTTTGTTTGTTCAAGGTTGAAGTTTGGACTTCAAGTGTAGGTATAAAAAATGAAAAGACATCTATAATTTTGGAAAGTCGCTATTTATTTTTCACCGAGGTGATGACAAAGACTAGGAGATGCGTATCGCATGCAACGATGACTCTACAGCTGAAAGTAGTGATAGAATAATTTTGCTAGGATCAAAAATGGCATTTTCAGCTTAAGGAACGCGTCCGATCTTATTTACCGAATTCGAAGAAAAACTACTTTTGAGAGTCGATCGTTATAAAACAAATTATATCGCATATGGTGAAGTAAAGTGAAAAAAAAAAAAAAAAAAAAGCTTCAACGGTGCGTAAGACTTCACCACTAAAAAAATTGGAAAAAAATACCATATATATTCCTATGCATTACCTAAAAAAAAAGCGCATTTTTATCTTCAAAATAAAAAAAAAAAAAAAAAAAAAAAAAAAAGATATTTCGAAGATCAACAAATATCACTTTGTAGAGATATTTTTCTCTATAATTAAAAATCTAAATAAAGCTGACAGAACCGTGAATACTTTAGTCGAAACTTAAAAAGTACTCTGAAACGCATCATATGAGCTTTCCAGATTAGGTATTAGCTTTTAAAAAATTCCAATCGCAGTTGACAGATGGCGCTGCCGGTGGACCGGCTGATCGTATATGCATATCCAACATTGTAGTCTTCATGATTTTTGTGTTGGAAAAAATGCTCCCGGAACAAACAGATTGTTTGCAAAGACGAAGCGAAATGTGCGTTAAGTGTTAACACTTGTGAACATTTCGAAACCGGCCATTTTAATAGATACCACGCAACACGCTCCGGACGGCCATAGGAAGCACATGACGGCGAGCTGCAGTAAACTAGAGTGACTAAGCACCGGCAACCTTTTACTTAATACAATGCCCATTCAACTTACCTTGGCTTAAATCTCGTCACAGATCATCATTTTACTCCTACCTGATTTCTGTCCAGTTGTTAATCATAGCAAAGAGTGGAGCCAATGGAAACGCAGCTACGAATATAGTGATAAAGCCAAATTGAAGGACTACAAGTAAAAGAAAGAAAGAAAGAAAAAAGCAATACAAATAGAGTCAATGCATAGGTGAAACATACAACTGCAGCTGCGCTGTACACATAAATAGACACATCACCAATTTGTCGCTTCACTTTTAGAAATATACAGAATGAAGTTCTTTTTCCAGTTTATCTTAATCACCACCATCTCACCCAAACACGCCAAATTTACTGAGAGCTACATACAATTAGAAAATATTTTCTTTTTTCCTACTTTGTGTTCGGCCTCAAAGCCGACTAAATAAATCAGAAATAACATTGAAAAGACTTAGGGAAAACTGTAATGGCATAATGAATAGCAAATCAATTAAAAATATAGAAAGATAAGTAAACGATTAACAAATCATTTTAGGCAACAAATTAAAATTTGCACAAAATTATTGGAGGGTAGCGGATAGGTCACGATACTGTATATTTAATCCATTTGTGAATGGTGCGAACATAGAGGAAAAACCTTCTGTGTAAGTACGTTCCGTCAGTTATACGTCTGACATAACAGATTTGTGTGCAGAAGTAGGCGAATGCTCTATTTTGCTGCTAATAAGAAAAAATACCCTTACCAACTTCTAAATAATCCTTAAAAAGCCCAATATCCGGGACAAGTGTATAGTCGATTTCCCACTGCGTTAATTGACCTCGTGCATACACTTGGGTTTTCCTACTCTTTATCCACGTCTGTAACATGCTGAAGTCAATGCATATAAACGACTGTGAAAAAAAGTTTTGCGATAAAATAAATGCTTTATCTACTATAAAACGGGTCGATAGCACAAAGTATTTGTCGTACTGATAAAATAAGAATCGAATAAAAAAACAACAACAGATCAAACAGTCGTTAGACGAGCTACGGAGACACTTACGGAAGGAAGACTTCCGTAGTATTGTTGATGATCTGTTTTGTGATCATAATTACAGCGAGTTCCCAAGCAAGCTCTGATAAACAATCGTTTCCCGAGCATTCTTCATTGCGTAGACCGAACAAGAGTCGATACCTTCCAGGATATCCAACAAAACGCCCTTTAAAGAACGCTATATAGAACAGCGTCGAATAATAGTTGACGAACTGAAACATGAACAGCTGCAAACCGCAGATCTAACCTTTGTAAAATCGTGAAACATAAACATAATTACAAACAACACACATCATCTACCATATACATCCAGCGATTTGTCTACGAAAAACTAATTTACACTTGTCTTCCTATAGCAGTCAACAAAACGTACCTTGATAGTTAGGTTGTTTTCAAATTCCGTCTGCGTACGATGCATCTCTGTATATGATGAGATAGTCATAAAATAACGTACGTCAATAAACCACAACGAAAGCCAAAATATGATTTTATTGTTCCAACGGTGTTAATAGGGTAAGTGTGGATTCTAAAATTAATAATAATTTCTAATATAATACTATTGGCACAATTTGTATTTTTCAGATGCGTTTGATAATAACAAACACTCTATTTTTCAGTAGCTTAACTTTGAACTACTAGTAATTAACTTGATTTTTATCATTGCTTGTGTTACACACACATTCACGTATGTAAAACATTTACTCTTGTCAAGTGAATTCGTTTTTTCGAAATTCTGAAAGCTTCCTGCATTAAGATATTTCCCAACTATTGCCGAAATAATTGTCGTAAATATCATTTTTCGAACAATGGAAAGGATTTACTCTATAATAAACTTTATGTGAGGTAATCAAGGAAATTATGCCGCAATTGTACATGCCCTATTAATAACTGCGCAGTAATAACTATACTATTCATCAAATGAACTGCTACATGATACCAATGGAAGCACCTATAAATAAAAGTATTTAATTCTACCCACATTATTTAAAGCCTCGCAACGTTATATTGCAACATTAATAATATTATATACAATAGGAACATGAACGATGGCGGTTGTTTCTTGTGGCAGAAACGTAGCGAACTCAACTTGTAAATCAAGCATTCGCCGTTATTATATACAAGCTTCTCTCATCTTTCAGAACAAATCAAACATTTTCATCAATTAAACCGTGTCGAAATCCTTTTCCTTAATAGAGTGTTAGTACCACACATAGGTGCATGTTACGATGGATGTCACGCCACTTGTTGCCCCCTGGTACTATCTTCAGAACATCTGGCAAATATTTTGAGTTTTTATAATATATATATATATATATATATATATATATATATATATATATATAATTAATAATATAAAATGGGTTTATTAAACTCAAGTTTAATTTAAGTTTATTAAGTCATTTTATATTATTAAGAGTGTGTTTTAAACAATTGCATATACTCATTCCGATGTTGGAATACTGAGTTCGTGACCTGTATCTATGAAGTTTTCTTTTCACCGCCAATAATGGTGAATAGATGAAATTTCATTTTTTTGCTTGATCTCGCTAAAAATTTTCACGTTGGTGCTGAAAAATTCATACGACGAGTTTTTCCAGAATTCCCCTATGTCAAATGTACAGTTACAAATTTCATTCGCAGATAACTTGGATAGGTGCTAATCCATTGACATGAAGCCCGGGGAATACAGTGGATACGAGAGAGCACCTCATTCGGGATCTTACAAGGCGGTTTTTTCTGGTTTAACCATGTGTGCTCTCGCAAAGAACGGTGATCTTTTTTCTCACTAATTTTAAAGTGCGCAAAACCCTTTTAGTCCCACCAAACGAAAATCAAGGACTTTCTTCGATTGACAGCTAGCTTAACCCTACACCCACGAGTATCTTTTGGAACCGTTTATTGCTGCTTTCTCCATGCCTTCCTCTGCATTTTCTCACACACGTTCCGAGACAAAACTTCCCGTCACCCGCAACTGTTATATGTGAAAATCTGTGTTTGCCACTCTCGTCTTGCCAGTAACGGGCAAGATCTTAAGAGTTAAGACGAAGTGGTATTTCGTCGTTCCCTTCACTTACCAATTTTGAAACTATTCCGCGGTACTTTCCAGCAATTTTTTGACTGCGGTGAAAATTAAATTAAGGCAAGTTTCGAAAAAGCACCCTTCTTCACTAGAAATTCCATATTTGGATCACGGGTTTGATATGAAATTTGGCTCGCTACATAATACAATTGAAGCCAACTTATGGAGATAAAGGAAAATTTGTGCATGGCGTGCAGAAAAAGGCAGACAGGTCTTTACTTATGCATCAATCTAATATTAGATAATACTTTACCTTTATCTATCTACCTACCTAAAGTAAGTATCATTACAACGTACCCCATTGAGTGAGCTTGTGAGCCAGCTTTCCATAGACAGTTTGCAGGATGACCATGGAGATGACATTGATAAATGCTCCGCTCCATGACGATATCATATGAGCGAGCCCTTTTAATTGTTCTTGACGATATAGAGGGATCGAAATTAATATCCTGAATATGATGATTGCCAGCATGGCAACGAATACAAGCGATGCCTAAAATTTGACACAGCCGTAACGTCGAATTGAAAAAGCCAAGTAATTGTCTGAAGATAATAATGTCCTGCAACGAGTCATTTCATCCAGGACAATAGATATTCAGCGAGAACACTGATACTAAGAGGCTTTACTTTTGTGGAAACAGAATGATGGCTACTATTATAGCGGTTCACACACTTAGAAGTTTGCCATATGTCAATAATGATATGATTCCAACTGAGTTATATACATGAATGGTAACCTTTATAAAATCAAAATCAATTCAAATTCTTGTTTCGAAATAAATGGCTGAATTTTTCGAAATTATTATTTGACAGTGTTACTGCTTCTGCATTATCAAAATACAACAATTTATTATATGCACCAACTGGCTATAGCTTGACTGGCATGAACGACTGAACTATTGTCGATCATTATTGACTTTATCTAAATACATAAGATTACCTACTTTGTCAACTTGTGAGTTCAAGATCGGGTCATTTCGTTCCGAGATCAGAATCGGAAACATTCTTGTTATAAGTCCACGATGCTACCGCCCTCTCCATTTGACGGATTTGATTAATATCGTACATAATATATATAGTAAAGATTCGAACCATAAACAATAGAATGACGTAGCCGGTAACCATGCGACGTTTGCGGATATCAGATGGAAAAGATGGTTCTAATTGTCGAGTGACCGGATTCCGTTTTTCGGCATAAGCGTGTATAGCGAACTCCGGCCGTGGCGGTTCCTCATCTTCAACATAATTCAAACAATCCCAATCGTACACGAGGCGCGCACATTCGCGTTTCCAGTACTTCAAAAACGCGACGGCTTCATTTGAAGGTTAGGCAAAGATTAGAGTACAGGTTTAACTTCTCATCAATTTATATAATCAGTTTCATGTACATGTAGTACAGTAGAAAGGGCTAATTGAGAGACACAGGGACGTACTGGTAAACATAGATGCTATATATTATATAGTTGCATATACAGTTCAAAGTATACTTACCCCAAAATGAAAGAAAGCAAGCATAGAATGCAGTGCCGGGATGATCGAACAGATAGGTGATGTGTGTCATCCAACAAGTTTCCGAGAGGTACCAGAATGTACAGCCGAGACTCTCGTCACAACGAGGACACATTTTAAAAAAATTGCCACTTTTACACAGTTGCGACCTGCGATCAAATAGCGATATAATATGTACGCCACTTTACTTTAGCATAAAGTATATATTGGATTATATGTATACAAAAAGCGGTCTGAATGAGAAGAATAATCAATTTGGCTAAGAAATATTTTTTCCGCCCGGTGTGGCCTCATTAGACAGCCTGACGGCCAGCTTTTCCTAACACGAAATGAGGTGTGACTACGCTTGGATTCAAACCCAAACCATTACGTATTTGTACAGCATATAAATAGTAAAATTTTTAACTAAGTTAATTAAGTAATTAAGTAATTGTATTAGATGCGTACATCGTCGAACGCACAACAATGACAAGAAAAACTTGTTCAGTCACCATGAAAAAACAAAGTAAATTTGAAAACATGTGTAGCAAGATTGATTTTTGTTTGTTACGTATGCCGCACGCAGCCCGAAATACATACGGCGTTACGCATCGTCAGTGCTTACTGCGAATTTATGAAATGTAACAAGCTCGAGTTATGTTTTGGTTGACTCTGCGTATATGTCTTTGTTTTAATTTATCAGGAATTTGTTGTGAATCATCAGCTATCCTCTACTTACGTTGGATGATCGGTCGCCACATTGAACATTCCATAAACAAAGATAAGAAGTCCTAGAACGGATGCTGGTAATAGCCATACCGTGTAAAATCCTAACCAGGCGAAGTAAAGGGCGATTCCTTCGCCGAAATACTCGCGAATATGGTCAAGGGGTTGAAATTTATACCAACGACCCCACCGTGCCCAGTATTCGTACAAAATTTGACGTCGTGTGTAGTTACATGGTTTTTGATCTCGCGGGGCCTGATAGGAGCCCTACAACCACAATAATACACTTATCTTAGGAATAAGCCAAACCTTGGTTTTAGGAAGGACCAAAAAGGGCATTACCGAAGTGCCACTCCGTTTAATTCAAAACATATTTTACTAACAGACATTGATACAGCGAGTAGGTAGAATTAGCAAATCCATATCTAAAATACCTAATACGCTGGTTTTCGGTAACTAGTAACAATACATGGACGTAACATGAAAAAGACTTTTCATAACTAAGGTCTGAATAATTCGGAATGATAAGGCAACTAGGGAAGGAGTTTCAGGTTCTGAAGGGCTTGGAGCCTGGACATTGACACGGCACTTGATAACGAAGATCGCAAGCGAGGAGCGTTAGCTATGGGTGAAAATCGTACCGAGTACGGCATATAGACTGAAGCAAAAAGGCGTACTGATGCTGTGGATAGATAAGCCAAGAGACAGACATGAAGCTAAGTAGTATCAAGAAGAGTGTAAAAACAAGAGAAAGCAAATGCAGCTAACAGATAATGCTTAATTTAACCCTACGGCCAGCCTACGAGACCACTACGTACCTAGCTAGCGAAAATGATTGCCATTGATCCATCTAAAAAGCTGTTGCTTTAATTAGTATATCTTTGTCATAAATATAAAGGGTTCTCCCCATAGACATGTATTTTAAAAGAGCGAGCATTTTAAAAAAATGACAAACATTACGCTGTCCAGAATAACAAATTGCCTGCGGAAAGGATTAATCGGAGGACAAGCAAATTGAAAGCTATACGCTATATATAAAGCGCTTGTTTTGTTATCACGAACGCCTTAGTTTTAAAATTCGTCTGATCTTTCACTCCTAAGAGACCCTGAAAAGAACCGTTTGGTTTGCCTTAAATTTTGTTTCGTAATGTTGTCTTGTTGAATCATATTATTTTTTCCTGTTATCGTTGTCAAGTCACCGTCGTTGAACATTGAGCTTTCAGTTCTAGTTCTCTCAGTTCCAGACCATGGATATGTGAATCGACATAGTTGTATATCTGTAGACCAATGAGTTCTTACTGGTAGCGAAAATATCAGTTCAGAATGCTACAAATGACGATATGTTTGTCGCGTGCAACTGAGAAGAACGTATAGTTAATCGTAATTGGATAGAGGTTTTTCGAGAGAGATAAAAACGTCTGCTATCGCTGGTCCTTCTGCTTTCCGAATTGTTATAACAAAGCATCATTTTAGCGAAACATTTAGTGGATTTCGTCGTCTTATGAAAGGTAATTCCTTATAATTAATAAACTGTATGGTTCTTAGGTTTTACGCTTGTAGTCTTCGCTACAATGGGATGATCATATTTGTGACGTTTTAGTGTTTCGAAACATCTAACTGATGATCGGTAAAGCTTTCTTTAATCGTGTGTTTTGGCGGTGGTAGTACCTCAAAAAGCGTTGCCATCCTCCGTTAAATGACTGAACCAATGATATTTCTTGAAATTTTCAGAGAATTGTTCAATGCAAACATTGCCTATACTTCGGACCACTATCTTCACAGAAATGTTTATGTATTTCCCAGAACGTATGTATAGGATTTTCGAATGATATCAGTTTTTCGAGAATGAGGTCGATACCTTTTTGCAATAGAATCCCGCTTTGGTACAATGTTTTCAAGAAAAGCAACCTGACTGTCGGAATTTATGCAAATTTTTCTTTGTTGATGTCTAGTAGAAGCTGGAAGTTTTCGGCATCAACCTCAACAGCATTTTCAAGATTGGCATCTCTTTTAACAGCAGGTAGAAGCTGCTGCGGGACGCCGCCCGAATATAGCATTAAGATTACTTCAAGAAACTCTTTTTCAGTGCACATATCGCCAAGGGTTCGATCAATGACTTCCAAGGCCTCCTGACTAATCTACCGTTTTTGAATTTCCTTCTTTGTTTTATACTTTGTACTCCTTAACTTCAATAGGAATCGAGAGTGCATCGTTTAAATCAAAGCGGGCCGATGGTACTACTGCATCTTGACTTATTCTGGCTAGAATTAAATTCGTCACAAGAGATCTACTTACTACTGCTTCCTCTGAAGCGTTGACGAAGGTAATTGAAATGTTGTTCACTTCTAGACAATTGTAAATGTTATGGGTTAAAAAATGGTTGATGGGTGTTAACGATTTCGTTCTGATCATTATTCTCGTATTGGAGATCCTATTGAGTGTCGGTGTGCTTGTACTCCTGGTGCTGATATGGTTAAGAGCTCTCCTAAGCCTTTGTCATTAGACCTGAATGCGTACGTACCTTAATGGAAATAACTGAAGCTGAGTTAAAAAAATTAGGTAAGTACCTTTTTTGTACGACAGAAACCGATAACCTTGTATACATATCTATCGGTCTATAATATTACATTCTAATGAACGTTCCCGTGTATTTAAAAAATTTCTCCTAATTTTCCTTACTTTGTCTACCTCTGATAGCGTCCTTCCGGACCTGTCAGTATGCTGTAACAGGATCGTGTTCAAAAAAAGGCGATACCTTTTATACTACGCATTTCGTAGTATAAAAGGTATCGCCTTTTATACTACGAAATGCGGAAATACTACTGCCGGAACATTTGCCTAATATACGGTTACAACACTATAGCTAAAAAGACAATGTAACAGCGTTTTGTCAAAACGGAAAACGACGTTCGGAACCTAGAGGACGCTTTTCACTCTAGCTAAATGTCTGCCTTAGACAACGACCGCACTTAGCAAGAAAGACGGTCCACAAACAATTCAGTCATTGGCCAAAATTACAAAGTATTGCTACATTAAGGTCCCTTCAAGCTTTTTGGGTTTACATGAAAATTTCGGGCATATGCATCTCATGAACTCTCTGGATTCAATAAAGAGTTACAGTTTAACGCTGAATCTCAACTTCTAGATTTTTGCACACAGTTGTCGCCGGTGATAGGAAGTACCTATTCGAAACGGATGGCTCTAGAATAGTCAACCAGGAAAGATTATACTTAGCATTTGCTGGGGCTGTAATTCACTGGGAATTACTTTTCACGAACGGGACAGTTGACCGGCATGTTCATTTGGTTTATCGAGTTAACTAGGCTACTGAAGAGAAAAGGCTTAACCAAATCAAATTATTGCCCTTCATGACAATGCGAGGTTACACGCAGCAAACATCGTTAAAGGTGCTCTTTAGACTTCGAAAACGAAGCCTACGCCGATAAATTTTCATTTTTTACGTTCACTGGGCGGGATTGACAGAAAGATGGCAGAAAACATGACGCCAACAGTGACCAAGAATATATAACATAATAGCTTATTGTCACAGAACTAAAAAAAACATAGTCTAAAAAAGCGCGGAATTTTTTTTTTGCAATTTAACATATTACACTGATAGGACAGACGGCCCTCGGTCATGTCCAGTAAAAAAACAAACAGTAGCTTAAGACAAAATGACAAGAAGTTAGACTCGCCTCATGTAAAGGAAACGCCGCGGTAAAAGCCCCTTCTTCGACGAGCCGATCGATGCCGACATATCCCTTCCGTTCATCGCCGAACTCGGTTTTCCGGAGAATTTCCTGAGCTATTCGAATACGATGGCCCACCGTAAAGTAATTCTCTTGATCAACCGCCCCCATACAGCTGCCAGAAACAGATTCGAATAAGAAAAGATGTCATAACGTAACATTAAAATGCTCATATCAGTCGTGTGGGCAACATGTTGCGAACCGTAACAGCCATAACATTGCAGGAAACTGATATAATAATCATATTAGTTTATTATGATTTTTAGGACTGAAGCAATACTGATTAAAATCATTATGTATATAGCACTCTGTATATTGAAATATGTAGACATACAATGAAATTCAACTTGAATAATTCGGTTTTTAAAGATTTGACCTGAAGATAAAGCCGTGTGTCATGTTATTTATACTTTTTTACGGAAAGCAATATAATAGAAAGGTTGAAAATAGTGTTTAAAAAAACAGGTCAGATTTACGCCGGGCAGTGAGACGCTAATCCCGACAGCAAATCAGCTACTATTGTTCTTTGTTCAATCACAGATATTCTGAGTTTTCTATGCAAATTCATCACACACAAACGTAGTCTCAAGGTTGATAGGACTTTTTGGCAAGTGAAGTCGAGAGAGTGATCTTCTTACTTCGCCAAGTTGGCAACCTTGAAGTGGGTCGTGAAGCACCTGCGCGGGGTGTTAGGTACATCCAATTCACAAAACTTGACAAGCCAACGGAAGTAATGCCATCCTGTCCACCTTAGGTCCTAAGCATCGAATCAAAGCAAAATAATTTCTTAGTTAATACCGTCGTTACTGTGAATTCATTCACTTCATCAAATCACTTCCGTAGAGTGCGCGTTTTTTGTGGGCTGACAGCGTTGTTGTACTTTTATGTTGTCTGCGGTTGAACAACAATTTCCTTCTCCCGTAATGGTAATTCGGTAAGTCGACATTTTCCTGGGGATTTGTTTGAAAAGGGTTGCAAATTTATGAGATGTTTATATTGAACAGTTGAACGTTTTTCATATTCCATAAAATAGTGACTTTTTATTAGTAAAAACTTAGACTGAACTTATTAGAAATTGTTGAAGTTTGGATGCGAAAGTTGAAAAACAACTAAACTATAATGAGAAAATGTTCCACTAAGAGAAAAGAAAGTGATCTAACATGAGGAATCTCAGACTAGGGCAGCGTACACAATCGAAGATCACTTTTATGCAACCACGCCGAAAACCCATTAGTACACATGGGTTGAGTCCATACCACATTTTCTGGGCTATAGGCTGGGGCCGTAAACACAGAGAAATTCAGCTGGTGATTTCATAACATTATAAAAGACCGTTGAAGAAATGAGGCGCCCTATGACAAATAAATACAATTTACATAGAATTTTGTTGTGATTGAACTTCTGAACTATGTACGAACACGGACTAAAAAAAAAAGCTTAAAAACACGAATTTAAGCATGTAACAAACGGAAGAGCAAACGACTTTCAACGAATAGTTCCTGAGAGAAATATACCGACCTTTTTCGGGATTGACATCAACGGCAGAGGCGTCCTGAAGCAAAGTAACTCGGCATATTTAACGCGTAGGTCCCAGGGTACCGACAATTTGATGAAATGAATTTTGTTTGTGCTTTGTTTTCCTCCCACTCGAACGGCCTCCTACTAAGCAATAATATCCCAGTATCTAAAACCACGTAATTTAACTCTTTCTAAGATTAGTTCTCGTAAATGAAGACTACCATAACGGACTGCTTAATGGATCTCCTAAACATGAACACTAAGATTCAAAATTGATTATGGATTATGCAGTCGGACCATTATGCACTATACTATATATAGGTCTAAGAATACTTAGGTCCACACATCGTTTATCTCTCAGCGCCCACAGTCCTGTCACACCGACATTAATGACCATTTAGGGAAATGTGTATGTGATGATGCTAACATCATTGCTTTGACTTAAAGGTTAAACTGAAGTTACCCAAAACTTTCTACTATATAGAAATGCATGAACAAATATCAGGCCCGCTCTTTGATTCGATATATTTAATCTGAGTTTAATAGATCGGGTGAGCATGTCAGTCAGGCTACGGGCTCCTTCGACAAAATCCAATTATTTCAAATTTTGCGCCCTAACGGGCAAGCCCAAAGCATCGACATTTGTTGAACCGGTGAGTCTCATTAACTGAAAGTTATACTATTGACGCCACAAAGCCAGCATTTTCGCAAAAATGCATCGAGTCCCACATATCGAAATCGAATACACCCCTTGGCCATCGACTTAGCATAAAGAACTGGTAGTATCGTATATTCTCTGCCTGACGAACCTTTTCGATAAGCACCCCAGCAGTTCTCAGATTGTTTACAAAAGCGCGACGCCATTCTTTCTCTCGTAGCATTCGAATAAGAACAGGGTCTGCTTCTACGCCTTGGGCCGCTAGTTCAGCTGCATATTCGTCCAAGTTCATAGCGAGTATTGGTTCCTGCTCCTCGTCAGTCTCGTACACCAGCAAAAAATCTGCTCATCGTCACGTGGCAGAAAATTGATTGAGAACAGCAAAAATAATAGAGAAGTAGTTGAGAAACTTTAGAAGAAGATTAGATATAAATTATTTGATCTGGGGTTATTTATATTTTATGATTTATATGAGCTCTTATACAAGCGGTCCTCTGAAAGAGCCTTACTGTATCTGATCTGAACAATTCGCTGTTGTAAACCATGTCAAATATTTTACGTAATTTATCAATACTTCGGTACTATATTTTATCCTATGTACTACTTTCGATTCCTACCAATAAAAGATGGTGTGCAGAGTTACTCAATCCAAACGGCCATCAAAATGCTAACTTCACTGAATGTAAAAAAACTGACAAAAACATGTTATTTTTACTCCTGAAATGATAACAGCCGATTTTTACCAATTTTTGTGGTCCCATCCTTAAAATAGTTGTCACGAGTTTCTCGCATCGTTCTCTCTTGATGACCCTTTAAGCTGATTTCTTTTGCCTCATTTTTTCACAGCACCGCATGCAAGCGAGTTTGTTTACGCGGAAGTGAAACCGGTTAGAAACAATATGCAATATTTATATTATTTAATCTGATGTTCAAAAGGAGAACATTTAGTCCTATGGTACGCTACTTCATCTGAAATATTGAAAGTCGGTTTCCTTATATTGAATATAACTATTGACGATAATTCTCCGGCGTACACTGCAATTATTAGCGAACTCAAGCACGCTTTTTCGGTTAGTCAGGGCATTTTATCAAGTATTAAAAAAAATTGGGTAAATTTTTCTTATTTTTCATAAGTACATGCGTCATATGTTATTTAGAACTTTGTACATATTTTACTGCGATTAACAAAATTTACCGCTACCGACGATTCATCTAACCTATAGTACTCTCATGTATAGAGAAGGAAATATGATTTTATGTTTACATTCGGCCGTGCTACTGTAATATGCTTCTCAAAATACCGCCGTATACTCATTCCGTTGACGATCACTTGGCGACCGCAATTGAGCTGCACCACTCGACTCATTATGGCAAATGACCCGTGGTAACGCGACCGCAATTTTTTGGAGAGTCTTCGTATTATCCTTTCAATCTTCGCCAATACCCTTGTTCTGTCTTTAAACTTCCGCACGGCAGATTTTCCCCATTCGAACTGCACTTCAATATGTCATTGCCGATTCTGGAATAGTCTTCGCACATTCTGGCGCACTTGTGTGACATCCCGTCCTCTGAAATTTCCACAGCCGGAGGGCCCCGCGGGCAGTATAGCTCTATACCCGAAAAGCAATTCAAACAACGTTCCTCTCAGCTTCTTGCTTTTCGATATTTCAACCGAAAACGCTACCTGGGTAAGCAGCTTCTCGTTATCAGGGTTTTTAGCTTACTCATTCGACTAGCTCGGTGCACAATGGGCGTCTAAGAGTTAATTTGCCGCGTCCGATATAGGTCTACCTGAGCTAGTCTGCGATCCGATACGACAAATCGTGTTCTCCCTCATTTTTTCCGCAAAGACGTGTAAGCCTCTGAAGAAACGCTGCACAACTCCCAGCGTCCGAATCGCGGAAACCGATGTCCTTATCCGGACCTACACGAGCTAGGCAAAACGGATACAATAGTTGACAAATACTAAGAGCTGAAGAGCTTTATTGCTCCGCTACCATTAAGTCTACCCCATAATTTCAAAGGAACGTTCAAATAAAGCACATCGCGCCACCTAGATTCTCAGTTTAGCCGCTAACAGACCCTGCACTGGGCCAGTACTTTTCGGATCTGCATTGTAAGTTCGGCCCCGGTATAAGAGCCTCGTTTACCAGGTTGTAACGTCTTTCTGATGTCGACGTGTCTAGCCATACTATCCGTGTGACATAGGATACCTTTTTTTTTTATTAGAAACGGTGAAATGTGGCGCAGCGTTGCGTCACTCTTGACCCTATAAGCCAGATTACTGTTGATCACTTACGCTGAGACGCGAGACCTTCGTTTCAATTTGATCCATTTTGAGCAGGCTGAGGGCCTTCGTTTCTTTTCGCGCTTTTCAAACCTTATCACACTTGAGGGCGCCACTTTATACATCGACACAGTCAAGCGCAACAAAATTTTCAAATTGACGTTGGCTTTTTGGTAAAAATTTGTTTTCTCCACTATCTACTTATTGGGAACATTCGTTCCCGTCGGTAACGTAACAATAAATATCGCTTATACAAGTACAGTTGGAACGAGCTCTCGACGCTTGATTACCACCAAGAATTTGCTCTCGGAATAGTGGCATTCAGATTCGCTATCAGTCAAGCGGCAACTAGTCATTCTTACAAAAGCCCGCATGAACTATTGTTAGGAGGATTCCAAGCCCAGAATGCTCTGTAACTCTATAGTCGACTCGAGGGCCAGCAAGGTTTCCATTACCCGAATTCTCCGGGTCCATGAAATATTCGGCGGCCGTGAATTTGTGGCCTAGATACACCACGTCCTTGGCCGTGAAAATATGCTTCTTTGCTTTTAGCCACAAAACGGCAAAATTGATCGCACCCAGTAGTCTTTTCAGGTGATATTAAAATAGACTAAGACATCGTCGAGATACTTAAGGCACCCACGATTTCGTCTGCCAGCCTTTGGAGCGTCGTCTACGTGTGTTGCGGCATGCACTTGAACTGGTGAAGCCCCTCGGATGCGCAGGATGCCGTCTTCTTCGTGCCCGAGTGCAGGCTGATCTGCTAATATCCGCTCTTCAAATTTACATTACTAAATAGCGAGCCCCGACGACGGTATACATAGAACCGTCAATGTCAAACAGCGGTTGCACATCTCGCTTTGTTGTAGAGTTTAGCTTGTAGTAATTGACACAGGAAATCACTGTCCATAGTTTTTCCTTTAGCAAAACTACTGGAAGCATAGCGTGAACCCTATCCTCTATAACCTGTATTTCTGTGGGTCCAACTCGTCCCGGCTGAGATTGGAACTAAATCGCCGGTCGAGATCATATACTGAATAAAGTCAGTATGAATGAGTCTGTCCAACGCTTGTGGTGCTTTGTTACGTATCAGCCTCACTTGTTGTAACTACCAAGGGCTATATGATTTTCTATTCGCTAAGGTGACCTTCTCTGCTTGTGACCAAAACGAGTAGTTATTTTTTTATAAAGCAAACCTGTAAAATCTCAAAAACTACAAGAAAACTCCCTTTTAAGAATCGTATGTCCAAAATAAGATCTCCCGCGAAGACCAACGATGAAGGATGGCTCCTCCGATCCATTATCAACCTTGACGTTAACTACACCCTCAGAGACAGTGAGCAGGCCGCGCTGAGCATCGGTCTCTGAGAGCATTGCAATTGCGTTAACTTCCACCCACAAAAAGTTCGCGCAAAGGAGTTTAAGCTCAATCATGCTCATCGTGTATCCCGCTTGCCGAACTAACACTCCGACGGAGGCAAAACTTCGGCCATTGACTTTTGAAATGATCCTGTTTACTTCTTACGAGCAATTGCTGTACGTTTATTGGTCCCCTCGAATCGCCCTGCCGCATTCGCCACGACTCACGGATTCAAACCTGCTCTTACCCGACACTTTTAAGCTCCGGTACTCGCAAGTAAGTCGCTCAAGCACTCTTATAAGCCTCCCAGAGCAGTCCTGGTGAGGTAGTTAGAAAATTATCAGGCTCGCATGCATAACGTTTTTTAGGATTAAAAGCTTGTTCTTATCATCTCCTGTCGGTCACCTATTCTGGGAATCTCTCAAACAGTTTCACCTTGCGATGTGCCCACACTCCCGGGATCGCTTCGAAGACCGGCTGTTTCATGACCGATCCAAATCTTTTCATTGCCAACTCTGAGAGCAACCCGAAGGTATTTTCTAGAGTTGGTGGAAAGGGCAGGCTTGGGCCAATGTAGAGCCCATTTGTAGGGCACCGTGTAGTCCAGCCACCGCGGCTTGGACGAGAGACCGGCGTGTCCGTGAGTATGGTTTCCATCATACCCACGGACGGGCCGGCGACGAAAGCTCAGCGTGGGCCTACCTCCAATGCATTTTCATCGCCTTCGTTAAAACGCTTTTTAGGAGCCGATCGGCGCTTTAGCCTTCTCCCTAATCTACATTGCGCATCCCTGCCCACCTCGCCTAGCTTGTTATTCGGTATTCTGTCCGATCTAGCTGCTACTCGCATTATATACATATTATTAATAACAGGATAGTCAAACGTTTTTACGTTGTAACATATATCAGCTTGCAAGATCTTCCTATCCATTCAATCCGCACGTCTACTTCCAATACAATATACACTGTACAGCGTAATTACGCATATCAGGATCGGGATTAAATATTGAGACTTTCCCGCTAATTAAAAAGCTATGTCTTAGTTAGAATAGGACATACGCAGAAAAATGCATCGCATGGGAGTCCAGGCCAAGTATTACTTAGTAAAATTAATGTATTTGGTTTTTGCACAAACTGGTCTCTCCTTTAAAAGTCTTTCATGCTCCTATGATACTTGTGTATATATACATATATGAAAATCTGTTATAGCCCTATGACAATAGGATATTAAACACTACCCTTATATTTTTACGTAAGAGCTTTTTACCAGTACGGTCCGCTCATATTCAGAAGTAGGTGGTGAACCGTCGCCCGAATCTCCTTTAGTCGAGCTGGGGCCTGCAATGTGGTCTTCAGATGGTCGCGGAACATCTTGTTCACTTGGCGTTGATGTTTCTTCCTTACTGGATCGTGAAGACCACTTTTGTCCTAACTGCAATAGCTGTTTTTGGCTTACTTGCCTACGCTCTCCTTTATTTAGCTGCGGGGTGGCACGTGGACTGGGCCGCAACAGTTGCTCTCGACTTGGGCGGCAGATACTCTGCTCACTTGAGGGGAAGACACGTTGTTCACTCGATGTGTGTTTTTGGTTTTGATACACGTTTGAGTCAACAGTTTTCGTCGAAAGAGCACGACGGTCATGTTTGAAAGCGGTCTCCACAAATCTATGTTCGTCATCTTCGCGAGTGATGACTGATAAGGAAGTTGCATCGCTCATCTTGAATTTGCTATCATTCATTATTATGCCCACCCACGAAGTAGTCACAGAAAAACCCCACACAACAACAGAATCTCTTCGACGTTTTGTTAAAGCTCAGCTATGTGATCTACCACACATTACTTGCACCTTGTGCCTCCCATTAAAGATAAAGCGCCAATGCATGTGAATAGGTTTTGAACTCACTTCGTTTCGGGATCCCTTATGAATTCAACCATCAGAATCGTATAAGCTGTTAGTCGTTTTCAATTGTAGAATATAGGGATGCACACTGTATTAACATGTAGCAATAACAAGCAAGCATGTAATCTGAAATGGCGGCAGAAATTAACATATATCTAATTAGCTATTCCGCATACAATATGATTCCATGTGGAAAGCACCGATTGTTTAACAATGGCTAAATAAACGTAATCGTTTCTAAACTACCACACTCAAATACCCTAAATAATCAACTCGTATTTTGATTTAGCAATAAACTAGAATCTTTCAAGCTAGATGAAGATCATACTGCTTTTTTTTACGTAGGTTTTTTTTTATAACTACCTTTTTATTGGGAGCATTTCGGACTCGTGGACAGGGATAAATCTAGCACAGATATTCAACGTTATAGGAAAAGTTGATAGCCAAATATGGTTGATTACGGACATGACCTGGCAATACTTAGTTTTTTTCTACACAGAAGCTTAGACGCTCGCGTGCACACAAGGAACATTCAGACAACTTTTAAAGCAAGAAGGTTATTCCAGTTTTCGATTTTGGTTGAAGTCACGTTCATTGATTTCGCTGGTGTACATGTCGCGCACGAACAATCGAACGTATCCACACTCGCCAACTGTAGATCTTCAATGTGTTGTATACCAAGTAGACTAGCGTTTGCAAACTCCCGGCATTTCAGCCCTACCTCCTGCTACCCCCTAGGGATGACCCTGTAGAGAGAGGCAAAATTACTTGCTGATAACTCGTCTTAGTTCGCGTACACTAAAGTCGATTAAAGGCCATATACTAGACGTATCTTTATTAAGCGTGGAACACGGGGAAACGATTTGTTTCGTAAAATCTTTCGCATCAGTTAACGTATGGTTGTCAGCTGAGTCCGGGTATTTGTATAGTAGTAACAATGGACGCTCCGAAACGTCTTAAAGTGCTACTGGGGCGGCTGGTTGGCACTTATGACCACGGCACTTTTCTGGGACATCGGCCCCAAGATGCCCGTTCGAAAATAAACAGAGAACGAACGCATTTGCTTACACAGTATTTGAAACAAACATTACTATTCTATGAAAAAAGAGCAGAAACGCCAGCTGTTGTCCATTCGGTTAGGTGACAGCTATGACATGAAAGGAAATCAAAATGTGACTAGTTCGTTTATGTTTGGAGCCAGACCTCATCACGGTTTCAGTATTTATGCACTGTATTCCCGTACTTACCTCAGTAGAAACTATAGAATTTGCTGCTTTTTCCAAACCGAACCTGAAACATCTGGCCGTGAGAAAAATCCGGGTATTTTGCAGAAAAATCTATACGTAAGGGTATACTAGAAACGACTTCAATAATCACGGCATTAAATTGTCATCAAGTGCCGTCTGGTATTTTGATTCGCAAAAATACGTAACACGACAGAAGACTATTTCGTAAGAAAAATCATCCTAAAAACAGTCATGGCGTTTGAATTGCTTCGTTCGACCGTCGTGAACTAGCAGTCTTAATCTCAAGAATCAACTTCCGCAGATTATAATCGGCCGGGCTCAATGGAACCACACAGGTTGGTTTACTTTCTCTCTCTCTCTCCTCTCTCTCTGTCTCCCCTCCCCCCTCTCTCCGCCCTCACTCTCTTTCCCCCTCTCTCTCTCTCCGCTCTCTCTCTCTCTCTCTCTCCCCCTCTGTCATTACAATAGCTTTTGAGTTCTGTCGAAACAACGAAGGTAACAGGGATAGTACTGAAGTCGGTAAACGAACACGACGCACATCATCTAAACTGAAAAAAGGCTCTGAGGGTGCAAAACGGTTCGTTTTATATACGGGTATTGTGGTGATAATTTTAAGGTGCGAGGGTATTCTCTACAATGGGTTATCGATGGAGTCATATTGAAGAACGGCTACATCCCAAACTGCCGATGATCAATGTCGCTATTTTGTTTTTATAGAGTAATGCTTATAAATTAGAAGGCATATTTATGTAGGGCTTTATCCCTTGTTCTACCTTGAAAAATGTTGCGTAGGGTAAAATATCTAATGCATTTGCCAACCAACCGAAGTCGACCCGATAGGGTTTGCCTGTCCACGATGAATCATACAACACCTAAATTATAGCATACTGTGTAACAATATAGATTTTAGTGAGAACCAAGTGTATATTGCAGCAGCGTCCGATTAGAGGGGTCTTCCGCGAAAAAATACCCGGAAACCATGCATCACGCAATGATAATGATTTGTAAGTTTTATGTCAAACGATTTAATATGGTATCGCTTTGCATCCTCGATCCTGGTGCCTTTAGAGAAACGACTGCGTTTTTTTGAGCGAACATCAGGCCCATCAGAACGGCTTCGATGTGTCACATTGAGACAAAGGCGTCTTGCCTCGGGCGCTGGTTTTCGTTGCAGTGTGGTTATAAGACGCTTATAATAGAGCGTCTGTAGTATCTTGTCCTCTACTAGGACAATTCGACCTCAATATGGCCTAATGCCTGCCGCACCGGTTCGGGAACTTTTAGGAGTAAAAGAAGGACGGAGCAACTCCTCTTGGGGTTCCCGCGTGTTGTTTATGTTGGGTATACGATAGACGCGTACTAAAAACCTGACGTCCATATGGTTACCAAGATATCGTCCCTGATAAATAAGTTGCCGCACAATGCTTTACCACTAGTCAGCCACTATTCAGAATAAACATATGTTCTATTATAAGTTATCGTTTGTCTGTTTATTTTATCGTTCAGTATATTTACAGCATTGTTGGTATCTAGAATTTATTGACCCCTCATCACCAGCTATAGAACGACATGACTTTTACACCTGTGTAGATATCGACAGACAACCAAATGTTCTTTAGAATGATGGAATTCTCTACCAGAAGCAGACTAGGTTTTGGGTTAACAGTTCATTTCACAAAACAATAATTTGACTGATTATAAATAAACGTACTATAATAACAATTGTGTGCCTTTTATTTATGTTTATATTGTTATTAAAATTTTTCAAAATTTAAGTCAAAATAGATTTGTCGTTCTTGCTTCTGTGTCCAACGTATCAACACGCCACTTTTTAACAGTAGTCGCAAATCATATGTAATAGTTATGTTTATTTTCATATATATACACGTTTGTACACTTAAGTAGTATTTTTTTTTTCGCACCTTTGGCGTTTCCATGGGCTCTTTCCATGTTTTCGAGAAACGGCCAAGGTTTTGTGACGGATTTATTTTCATACATCGTAATAGCAGTAATAATAACATTACTGAGTATACAACACCGCATTAGTAGGAGTCTCGCATGCTCAAGTCACAAACGTAGACATCGTGTGAGGAAAAAAATCAGAAAATCAGAACGATATCGTACGGCCTAGATTAGCCTGAAACAAGCCAGGCAAAAATCAATAACGTATATGTAGATCACTCTGCTTGCGAAGTTTTCAATTGAGATATAAAGTTAGGTTAGAAATTGAAAGAGGCATGACGAAAAGGTGGCACCGGAGATGCAGTAGGCAATCGTATGAGCTAGTAGACATCGAGAGTCTAAAGAATATTACTAATATGAGATTAAAAATGATCATTATATCAGTAATGAATATAGAGTATATATGGAGGATAGTTGGATAAATCGTGAAGATTTCGAAAAAGTTGCTGAGTAATCTTCATTATTTGTTATTATTACAGTTATATTAAGATTTGTGTCAATCGTGTATTGCATACAATGATGATATGCGAAAACATCTACCATAGCTATATATGGGGTGTCATCTAATTAACAAAGAATACGAGCGCCGCCGACCAAAAATCGCAGCGCGTCCGATTTTTTGGCCTTTAAAAACGTTCAACAACTAATAACTAATCGATCGTTTATCGTCTAAGCGACAACGAAAGGACTGCATCTATACGATGAAATCACAAACGAACGACGCATACGCGGAAATGCTTCTAATTCTAGTCCTACTGATTGTGGTCAGGTAGGCGAGGCAGCTACAATCAATTACGCTGAAATCAGCTAAACACTTCAAGTAACTGGGTGCACGCTATGAGTCAATCGTCGGCAAAATGAGAAAACTAATTTCAAAAACAACTCGTTAGCACTGCTATTGGTCAATGTTTTCCTTCCTTGCTCCTATATCTAGGCTATATATTAGAATATAGAAAAGGTTCAGTTAGTTGATCCTAGGCGAAGTTGTACAGGAAAGCAAAATAGCGACTGGGTAAAAAATTTCTCGTCGATTTGATGTAGCTTTTTTTTTCCAATTGCTCTACGTTGGAAGTAGGCGCATTCGGCAAAATGGTGAGATACTGCTATTTGTTGTCTTCACTCAACGCTATTCAATTTAAAGGGGCCGTCAAAGTTACCTTCCGCTTCTTCTTCGAGCCTGTTCATTTGCTGCTCTTCTAATTTACGTGTGAGACAATACTGATAGTAAAATATAATTACAGTTATAATATTAAAATACATATAACAGTCTACACATTGTTTTTTTTTTAAACATATCGGTTAGTTATTAGCAGTAATATGTCGTCGTTACTTATATCAGCAGTACATACGTTCATTGTTATTTTCAGCAAATATATGACTAGTAGGAGTAGTAGCAGCGGTAGCAATCGAAAATATTGTCTCTTTTCCCTCGTGTTTCGTCAGCGCACGTGTTTCTGTTACCAGCCACTTTGGTTCTTTTCCTTTCCGTTATTCTTCGTTCTGCCCATTTACACTCGATGGCTTAATGTATGCACGTGCCTCGGTTAACAAGCGATTCCATGAACGCGATCTCTATCGGCACTGACCAACTATTTGAGCTGGATCATGTTGTTTGTTATTTGGTCGAAGCTAAGAACTAAACACATTGTGTAGATTGTCAACAGCCATCGCTAGACTTCGCTTTGCGTCCCAGTTACTATAAATGTTTTTTTCCAAATTTATTGATTTCGTCTACGACAAGAAGACGCAGGTGAGGAACGATTCGGCTACGGAAAAACACATATATAGCTACCGAACAAAGGTGCTAACAAGTTTGTGACGGTAATCGATAGTGGCTTTTGCTCTAGTTATTTCGAGGAGTTCGATGATTTCGCGAGGTCACCTCACGGCGGCGTTTCTCTTAAGGAGCGAACATAAGCGAGGTGTAGCAACATCCTTCGGTAAAAAATATATATATACATGTGCATTCATTTATATCTGCATATCTATACTATGCTGTCGCAGTGTATAGGTACTAATACGGAGGCGGGAGAGGCGCTAGTCAATACATGTGTATATAACAAAAAAATTCGTAATATCATCAGCTTTTCCGGTTGAAGTCGACAATGCAACTGATACACTAGAACGATATAAAGATACTCCCACCTACAGCGCAATTGGCACACGTACGTTCTATGCCATACGGCAGCCGCAGTACTACTTTCGGATAGTCGTTATCCTCGAACATACTTTTCGCTCATCGCGGCCAGTATTGACGCTTCGCATCGACACACACATGCACGCCACCAGTATACGAAATATTATAGCAGAGTTTGTATGAAATGCCCTTCTAGAAATCTAGTAGCAGCTAGAAACTTACTGCTCTTTCATGTCGTAACGGAACCCCATCAATCAAGACCCCCATTAAGAGGATTTTCTATTGTTTGTTACCTGCCATCGCTTATGGTTGATCTTTGATTGTTCCATCTGCACCGATTTACCTGCTTACTCTTTTATGACAATGGAACTAAACTAATCAAATAAGATTAAACCCCAAGCGTTCAAAAGAATAATTTTCCACCTTCCAGCAAACCTGTGAAGTACACGAAACAGGCAACGTATGACAAAAATGTCTTAGGGAAATTCAACTGCAATAACGCGCTCAAAAGAGAGTCACTTACCGGCATAATGGCATTTCAACCAAAAGCACCAATGCTGTGCTTTCCTACCTTTAGTTCTGCCGTCCACGACAGGCGACCGTATTTCCAAGCAAAAATCGTTTATACAAGGTTCTTTTTCGATCAGGCTGATTCCCTAATACAAATGGATAGATTCCAAATAGATAGTAAGTATCTTTGGTCTGTCATTTCTGCCGACAGTACAAGAGAGTGCGACAGTTACGACAAGGTTAAGGAAGCACTCATTGCAGCCGCACGCATGCTCATGGTAAATGGAACCGAAACAATCCTCCCTTTTATTTACGTACCTCCATACACTTTGTCTGAATTCTACTGCAAGGCCAGCACCAGTGTCAAGGGTAATAGAAGCTACGTTATACATCTTTTACAAAAGATATGGAGCGTTCCATTCAAGATTGGGCACGATGCAATGTTGCCTGTGAAAGAGCTGCCATTAGCGTCGGCTTTGACTACTGCTACAGCTAAAATCATCCCTTGGAATATACAGGATTTTTCAAAATTTGACCACAGTTACCTTGAAAGGATTAGCAAACCCTTCGTTGAAATTCTATTTCGACGGGGTCAGAGAAAAACTATCATAGACGTACTGGGCCCACGTTATTACATCGCCAGAAGACATTTTCCGCGCTTATATATCGCACTATAATGTTTTCCCTCATCAAACTACTTAAAGCCAGATCAGTTTCTCTCCATCAAGGTGTACGTGTATGACCTTTTACGAAGTTTTCCGGGGGTTCGTAAAAGATGACTAAACATTACTTTTAAGCACTGAAATAAAAACTCGCGTAATGAACGTATTTGCCTCGCACTTATCGCATTCACCTATAAATTGTTTGATGCCCTATAACAAAGACAGCAGGATTGGAACAAGATTCTTGGATCGCTTATTTTAAATGCGGTCAAATTATTCAGTATAGTTCACCACCAGTTTGTCTGATGATTCAACAGAAGCTCGAGAAGTAGCAGCTCTATGAACTTCAACACGGAATCCCCACAAGTTCCTAGAGGACTCATCAAAGCGTGCCTAATGAAGAGCCACACGCTGCCACTTCTACGAAACGGACGAAATTTACGGCATACTGGCTTATCTTTGTTGATTCTATTAGTTCAGCATTAGCTACATTATGTGCATTCGATCTCATAGTATCTATAAGTGCGATATTTAACGCTGTTGCTGCGGTTCTCCACAGCCGCGCTACTCCTGTCAGGACTAACAACTCCCACATGACCTTTCCTTCACACATCGACTAGTGTTTACGTCTACTTCTGGCTAACCCAACACGATTATAATAACAATCTGTCTGATCCCTCTACCCAGCGCTGGCCCTGGTTGTCTGCTATTTGTGTTCGCGTTTCTGTCTACTATGGTATTGCATGACTTTGCTACCTCGTCAATTTTGCTTGCCAACATTTTAATAAAAAGGTCACATCCCGTCAAAGGACGTACCTTGATTGTAGAAGTGTTCTTTGTGCAGCAGCTTAGGTTCGTGCATAGTAGCTCACTCTTGCCTCGACCTGCTTAGCCTTCCAAGCAATTATAGCTTTGTTCATTCGTTTTTGAGACAATGCAACATTGTTCATTGATGTCTCTTTTGCCCCCAATAGCGGCTTCTATCTGTTATTCTTCTCATGCAGGTTCTGTAGGTTTTGTTCGAACTTGTTCACGTCGACTCTAGTTTCTGATCTTTAGTCCAGATTCTTCTTATGTCCCGCTCCAACGGTCAATTAATTTTGTCTGAGATCTGTCTGATCTATGGTATCTACGAGAGATAGGTGCGTCTAGTACCTACTATACACCAATACCTACTAGATCGCTGTCTATTGCCGTCCAGCCAAGTCTTTTCAGCGACTCACATACAAGCCTTCGTAGTTTAAGGGTGGCGAGAGCATTTGGCACAACGAGTTGTTCCTAATGGTTCATTGTTCGACGCAGTAGTGCCTGTGTTTTCGTAAGGTATCGTCTACCCAAGTGACTTCAGATCTCTGTTTCTCTGTCTTTTTGCGTCGCTTCTCACGTAGATTTTTATTCGGCCGCAAAGTTAACATAGACCTTCACGACATCGCTTCCCCTCTGTCCGGTCCCCATTGGCGTCGTCGTCGTCGTCGTCGTCGTCCTGTTCGTAGTTATGCCACTTGGTTTTGTTCCGTTACTTGTTTCCGTGTCATGTCCGCAAGGGATAGATTCTTCACCGCTTTGGGTGTCCAACGTAGTCATGCTCGTAGAGTCATTTACACCGCGCAAAACCGCCGTTTTCTCAACCTCGAGGCAATTTGTAATTCTGCAATGAAATCAGATCAATGTGCAAAAAGATTATGTGAGCATATGGAGCTTTAGCAAAATAAGGAGTGCCGACGATCTGAAGGAAGCAAGTTTTTCGAAAGTTCTATATTATATCAATGTGTATTATCATGGTAAAATATCTACCGTTCGGTATAGAATACAGATTTATTTATATGCGTACTCTGTAGTAAGAAGCATGCGCTGGCAAGTTTGCACGGGAGCTTATATTCGGGGAGTTTATATATTGCACGGGAGTTTATATATACATATATACATATACGGGGGAGTGACATAAATATAACAAATTTATCAAAGTGATTCTAACAACGATTGCCTATCTAAAAATGAACGTTTATTTAGCTTTTCGATTCTAATCTATCAATCCTGTATCGCCTAAAAAGAAATCACCTTATTTTTTGCCAGAGATAGGACCATAATTATAAATAATTTCTAAGTGAAAAGTCACTAAGGGGGATATACTTAGGGAACATGCATGCATCGCTGAAACTGCCAAAGCTCAGCAGAGTGGTCCGACGATGTCATTGTCATGAATCGAAGGATTATGACCTCAACAGAAGTTCGCAAAAATTAACTTATGCGAAACAACTCGACCTTGATCTTCTTCCCGCTCCACTGAAGAAACACACGCGCCACAAGTTAGAAATTCAAATTGAATCGTTCGCAAGATCTAGACAATTTAACTGTGCAAATACTACCGTAAAGTTAGTATGAATAAGTATTTAAAATGAAATTGATGAACACATATCGGTAATGTATCGAGGTTTTAGCTTGACTAGTCATATTCACGCACAGCATCGAATACTTGGATCCTGTTTCCGTTGTCGCCGAACTGAGTTGTACGTACTCCCTATCGTACCTCAGCCAATGCGGAGCGACAATGAACGGGTTGTTGTTCAAAATTTACTGAAAGAAGCCTGTGTTTTTTGCTTTCAATCACAAATGAGCGACTTTTTCTGATTATTAATCAAAAAGTTTCCTTACGAGTTAGGTACACTTTCCGACGGTGGAGTTGTGGCTAACGAATCACAAGATCGTGCAGTATCTCCAAGACAGGAACGAAGCACAGAACCGACTGGTCCACTTCCGCTACCTCCGGTATGAGACGAAGCTCGTGAGCGATACGACGGCGGTCTTGAGTCGTCACCAAGAAGGTGGCACAACTGAGGCCTATGTAGGAAAGTCGACAACACGTTAATCATAAAAAAACACGGAGAAACAAAATCAACCAAAAGAGTTGAAAGATACATTACAGTAAGATTATAATAGGCTGTATTTATTTATCCGTGATAGTGAGTACCGGGCTCGTCTTCTAATCTGAGGAACATGTTGTGGTCGGGTTCGAATCCGAGTAGAGACACAGTTCGTTCTGTGGCGTGAGCCAGTCGTTTGATGGAATGCCTAATGGCGGTACCGGACTACAAAACTCGAAATATACATTACCTTCACTAATGTAATATATCAATGAATGCACGCTGTTTTATAGCCAAGATCAAAGATCAGTCTACAAAAATAGGAAACGAATAGTCCTGATAATCGGATAAAGTTCGTTGGTAAACTGTTACCTACAAACTAGCATATATATGTCGCAAAACTTCATTCATCTGTTCTGTTAGATTAGCGTTTAATGACGCGTGAGCACTTGTTACGGTGATACCTGTTGCTTCATTCTAACACAGTACTTTCATAATGTAAGTTCAGATAACTTCAAAGTTCCCCTTAGGCACAATGAGCGTTTTCCAACGACTTCCCTAAAGTGCAGTATTTTGTTTAATAAAGTATCCCCTACGACTGGAGCCATAGCTACAAAAGATTAAAAATAGACAAGCCAATCCGACTCTACAACGCAATGCAGACGGCAGCCGAACGGCCGTCGGCCAAGCAGTAATCGGAAAATGTAATAAAACTAATTTCGGTAACGTCGCGAAGTTACCTGAGCTAATTTAGTTTGGCAAATACAGGTAGATTATGAAACAACTATGAAGCTCTAATAATTCTCAATAGTACGGTCCCTAATTTTATCTGTGTGATTTTACTGTGACACAATAGCAAACATATGTAAATTCATATGTCCGCTTCTTAGCGCATTAGGGGCTGTATTTGTGTACATGGTTAAAAAAGCAACGGCGCGCAACCTTCATACATCGTCATATCCTCAGAATAAAACGTAATAAACGTAATAAAATATCCTCAGAAAATTTGAAATATGACTAAATGATTCAGTTCAAGTTCCTTGAAGCTTCGTCAATAAATTCTCATCTGCACCGATTTACAAGTGTAAAAACATAATTTTTTTTTTTAATGTGACAACTAGCAAAACAAACGTGTACAATAAAGATACTTGTTATATAAATCCGGACCGATAAAAATTATAATTATATGCTGACTTTTTTTTATTTATTTCGACACAATTTGCATTTCTATCTTCGATTAACTCAGTACAACAATAAAAAAGATGAATTTCGACGCGAAGATTAATCTAATTAATGGGTGGGGTCACCCCTCCATAATAATCGCTGATACTGTCATCATCGCTAGATCTAATAGAAATATAGTTGATAGTTATACGAAAAGCTCGCTCATTAATCATCATTTGTCACGCCGTCACACCTTTGGGCTGTGACCTGTTTTTGACAGACACGTCGGAAAAAAATACTAAAATAATTTTCTGTGATTTCTCTCGGTAAGCATCAACGACTGACTAAAGACATTGCTTTCTAATACACCGGCCTTCAAAAACACGTTAATATTCTAATACACGTCAAACACAAATGCAACAACGACGCCCCGTATAGATTGTTCTTCTCCTGTTGCAGTAGCCAGAATTTTTGGGCCTTTGGATCCCCTCTCCCCCGCTCGTCTGTGTCTTCGATTTCTTGAGTGACTAAAGATGACGCTGCTAGTAACTAATCCTAATGCTAATTCATCATGGCAATCGGCTCTATCGTTAATCTCAACCCCGATAGTGATGGTCATGAGACAATAGTGAATATTACGTAAGTGGCAACATCGCGTTCTATCGTACAATATGTATACACATAGATGGAGAGATGATCACAGCGAAGTTATTTCGTTTAGGCAATGATCTTATAAAGGCTTGACTTCGTGGAGGTCAGACGACCTTCACCTTGACAATTTTCGTGGTTGCCACGACCAGCCCAGTACAATAGAAGTTATTAGCACGTTGACTACCAAACACAATACATAATCTATGATATAATAATTGACGCCTGCCGTGATTGATGGCTAGAATCAGATACCTTAGATAGGACACATCACTCGAACTCGTTCCCGTGTAAGTATAAACCGCCCAGATCATATATGAAAATATTTTAATAAGACAGTGACAACTCTTGCCAGGGTGCAGAAAGCCAGATGCCATTATGCTGCAGTCAACATGTTCGTCTAACAATCTTAGGACATGGTCTGCGTTTGATTCCAGAGGTAGACACACTTCGATCCTTCAATAAAAATCAGTTCAAGGTATAACAATAAGTATTATATAAAACAATATTTAATACTCTTGCTAATTTCTTAAGGTAGTTTGTAATAAACCTCTTATACTAGCAGGTTCTTGGAGCAGCAACGATAAGTCTTCCCACAGAAACGACACCATAGTGTAAGGAATGGAAACTTTCGACAAAGGGCGGCCACAAACGTCCGCTTGCATGCCGCGTTGAGGCCTCTAACAATACTCAAAGTAGAAGCAGCGAAAAATTCAGACATCGTAATAAAATGTCATCGTAGCAAGTTATCATTACAGAATTGTGCTTCATCTCGTGACTGCGTAAAATTGTAGTAGCCTTTCGAGTTCGCAAACTACCCATTTGTTCAGAAGCACTGACAGATGCATTTTCTAAGTTAGATCATTTTAATGCACTTTAATTCTGTGGTGGTCAGTTTCTCGCCACGCTTCAAATAATTCGAAGTTAGCCAAATGGTTCTACGAGCAATGCAAGGCTCAACTTAGCATCAAAGTCAAGATCAACTAACCACAGCCACATATTGATGACAATAGAGGAACTAGACGCGCGACCTTGATGCGGTCACCGACGCAGTGATTTGCCAGCTGCAGTAGCCACGAGAACAGTTCGAGCAGAAAACCCATCAGATGCAGAAACACCGGCACCAATAATGCTACGAACATCACAGAATACCCAACGATTATGCCCGACCCTGTACTAGCGGCGGCGGCGGCGACGACGACAACAACGTCAACGTCATTAGTACCATACGCAACATCAGAAGCAAGGCCATTGGCAACAACTCGCAATAACTGCATATTTTATTTCTATACAGTTACCACTACAATCACTAGACCTTTGGTGATGCCCGAAAAACCTCCAGGAAAACGAAGTGCCATTAACAGCATCCGGCAGATCGAGGAAAAGCAATCGGCAGTTAGCCGAAACCGAAAGCACAGACAGAGAAGACCCAAGAAAAGAAAAGTAAGGCCGGGCTACGCCGAAAGCGCATTTAACAATGCGCGAGTAGAGTCAAGCCAGCCCAGCCTAGTAGAGCGAAAGGCTGTACTGCCAGAGTCCAATCGCGAAATAACGCAGAGACCCAAGCATCGAATCTGAACTAGGAGAAGACATCTTGCAGCGACGACGTTCGTATAGGGCAGAAATGCTTGTACCGTTTTTTTTTCCGATTTCTTAATACTTATCAGTAAAGATTTTAGGAGTGCTTGAATCCGCGCAATTAACCAGTGCAGATTTTCATTCTGCCATTATGCTAATCCTACGAATCTGAAAGTGATAGCAAGCATGTGTTTGTACATCGTACAACTCAAGAAGCCCACTGTCGACTTACTTAGGACCTAGAAGCGGTACAATTGCGTCATCCTTCTGCTTTGTTCCGAAAGGATAAGTGCAGGTTTCGAGCACTTATTTAGGCGATATGGATAAGCGTGCCAAAAGTGTAGGAAATTACGACAGACCCAAAATTTCATTTTTAGCCTATTGCCGAGAATACGGAATATGGAGCCTCGCAAGAGGTAAAGGTCAATACTGTACACTTTACCAATAGATAAGAACCTAACCAATTTTAGAACAGAATAAAAACAGTGACACGAGTGAACTCAGCTTACAAAAATGGGCGCCAAGCCACAAGCAGGCCATCGAATGGACAAGAACAGGTGTCCACTTGAACAATGCCATCGCTTGCCCCTAGCCTCAACATAGCTAAGTGAGGCGACATTCGTGACCCCTACTTCCTCCTATTTGAGCGCGCAGCGAAAAGTCTGCCTAATAATATTAGAAAAAAAATACCTTAATTGTTTCATTCATTCCGATTTGCTCATAGTTATGATTAAACATTTTGATTGTAATTTCCACCTTGCCACCACTTCTGGCGATATCAGATATTCAACCTATCGTTGTTACCACAAAACAGAAGCTCGGGCTTCCGATATAAACCGTCTTATACTTTGTAAAATACGTGAGATGGAGTAGAAGTGCTCTTCCGAGCTGGAAGAACCGATACTCTGCGGAGGTGAGTAGTATGACAAGATATTCGAAAGAGAAAACTTCTATTACTATATTACGCTGCCATTCTAACTACAAAATAACCCCAAACGTTGCACATGCCGACAAATGTGTCTAAACAATATTTTTGCAAAGCATAAAACCACCTGCAAGCAGGTGTAGCAAGCGTTATTTTTGAAGCATTTTTATGACCAAGGGAGGATTGTACAAGGGGGCAACGAAAAAATTTCAATTAATGAAATTTACTCAGCGACAATTATTATTAATGCATTAGTTGTCGTATGACTCAGATACTGTATATATACACAGTGTAATTCATCGAGCCTAAACGGCACCTGCTCTAGCAAGGTAACGATGACGTTCACTTGATCTTAGCTAGTGTATGCCATGAAAGCGGCAGAATGCAATTTTGAAATCTCTTTTTTCAAGCCATAGGCTATCTTAGTGGCCTAAAAGCATGTGCCACGAAAAACTAGGTTGGGCATAAATGTACTGTGACGCAGCCGACGCAAGTCTGTCAACATATTTACTATGAGGCCCTGCTTTTATTCCGACGTAAAAAAAAGTCTAATAGAGACATTGAGCCTTGTAATTGTTATGAACGACTGCGTCGTTACGAAGATAACGAGCTGTAGAAGTTAAGACTGGGACCAAGCAAAAGACATCATCAGGAGGTGCTCAGGGGCTCTTATCTAACCCACCTGCCTACATGTCTATACTGCAGCAGCGGTTTAATATAATTTACAGTCAGACAATTGTATCCAGTTTGATGCTGCCACCTGATTTGGCAAACACTGCGGCCGTAGCTGGGGCTTCTTTGTCAAATATTGGCATCTTATCGTTCCCGTAGTCCGTATTCCTCTGTCCGTGTCCTACCATCTTCTCCGAATGATTTTACTAATCGCCTGCTAAAAGTAGTCTGACGTCGAATTTTTTGAGGTCACAAACAATTTTCGTGCCGTACACAGGTACCAGTAGCAACATATGCACGTACTACCTCAGATGTTTCACGGTTTCTGCTCTACTTTCCGGTAGCAGGAGATCTTTTGTAACCGATAACACTAATTATATCGAGTCGGTATTAACGAATAATATCAAACTGTGCTGACAGACGATAGGCCGTCTGATGCACATGCTCAAATACGTACTCCCACGCAGCACTGTGGGTTAGGGCTACGTCCGTATTGATTTGATCCAGCGAACAGCGTTTTATAGTTTCGTTACCTTGAATGACTCCGATCGAGCGTCGAGTTCAGGGCAGAACGATAGGTCGGCGGAGGGGAAACAGGGCCGTTTAGTGGAGGACCAGATCCGCCGGAGACACCAATCGGATTAGCTGTAACACCCCCTCGCTGATCGCTACTTCCTGGTGCAGCTAGTGCGCCTGTTGCGTTCGTCACTGTATTCGTTCCTTGATTACTATTGTTCGGCGGGTGCCGATCGAATAGAAGCCTCAGACGATACTCTTGCATCGACGCTTGATAAGAGGGTGGCGGTGGACGATAGTGGAACTCCGGGTACATCATCGCTGAAATGTCAACGCCACAAGATGAGACTAGTTATTAGGTATAAACGAAGGTCGATTTCGTCATTGAAATCTGTCTACATACACCTGTAAATACATGGTGCAGAACAAGCCGCCATAAGCTGATAATTGGAGATGGATTTCAGCGACAGTCATATTTATATACTATTGAACAACAGTGAACAGGGCCTTTTTGTTGAAGTACGTTATCAAGTAGACATATCAACAAGCATCCGGCTGAGTTACGTTAATGACTGTAGGCAATATTATTCGATGCGATAGAATGGTACGTTAACGCGCAATATGATTAAGCAGACACTTACGCTTAATTTAGATAAAAGTAAAATGGCCCTACCATTTTACATTCAGCTGTGTGTCGTTTGTTATTATATCTGTGTACGTGTTGCGTCTTTACTCTGGTAAATCTCCACCCTTGGCCTATAAATTACCTCACTTATCAAAAAAGTAATGATAAACATATATTTTCTGTGCACAAATAAGCCGTTTCGAAATTCAACTTCAATACGCACACAACAACTGACAGAGACAACGCAGACATGCTCATGTTTAAGGGAACGCCTCAATCAAGCTTTATCGCATGCTATAAAATGCTCCTATTCGGCTTCCGAATGATCAGTCTCGCCAAAATAGTAATGATAAAAGCAGGGATGATTGAAGAAAAAACGTCGTGCGACTGTTGTGCCATGCAGTACAACTTTAAACAGGGTCACGTCTATTTTATTCTTTAGCATCTCGTTCGCCAGGTCTGGCTAATAAGTGTCTTTCATTGTTGACTAGCTCGTAATTTTATTATCTAATAGAAATATATATAGTTAGGGGTAATTTACGTAATCTCAACTTCAGCCTCCAAAGCCAATAAAGAGAGCGAGATATTTTTAAATATAGCTAAAGAAGGCTGGATTATTCTACTTCACACTGGTACTTCACAGGCTAACAGAGACATTGGCACACATTATAACTTACTGGCACCCTATGTGATACGTAAAAGTGGCATGTCCTCAAGCGTATGTCGTTCTTCAGCGAGTCTAGTATTCATATTATGTATTTATGTCTCGTAGTATGTACAAATGCTACATTCTATCTCACCATCTAACCACTATTGTCGTTCAAGTGAGCTTGACTTAAGTTTAAGTGTTTTCTGGTGGCTTCCATACGTCAAATGTCCAAATGGAAAGAAAAATACCGATTAGCAGATTACTCCGTCAAAACAAATCTACACAACATGAAACTGCTGAGACGTTTCCTGCAACTACCAGCGAGCTAAAGAGAATCGAGAACGCTATATCATGAAGAAGGACGTGTGATTTATTAAGGACTCCAAAAAATGGTCCGTCCTTTGAGATAGATCAGAAGATCGTAGACTCGCTCCGTTAGAAATTACGTTTCATCACCGACTCAGAAATGCCGAATCTAGGGGCAGTAAACCTGCCAAGTAACCTCGGTTAAATGCTTGAACGAAACAAACATGCCTTTAGTGGGTAAAGCAAGTCAAGAGTTGGACCGTTGAAAACTGAAAAAGGTTAGTTTTTCGCACGGTTCTCATTTTGAAATCTTCGCCAAAAACGTCCTCATGTTTTCAGGCGTGTTGGCATACGGCTTCCCGAATATTAAATAAAAAATCCATTAAATGTTATGATGTGGTTGACGATCTCTTGCAAAGGCACTGGCATGATGCACTTCATGCAGGGAATACTAAAGCAAAAGGAATATGCTAAGGTTATCCAAGGATCGAAGCAGCCTTAGGTACTGGAATGGTTCCCTGACGGTGACTGCGTTTGCGTGCATGATATGCGTCTTGCCATAGAGCTCGGAGTACCTCTAGCCTACTCACTGCCAATGGTGTTTAGGTTCTGCCATAGCCTGCTATTTCGGTGGACCTCAGTCGCAGAGAGGACGTCCGAAAAATCGTAAAGTCATGGGTTCGGGATGGATAGGGCATAAAAAACGTTATAGATCTTCGTGAAAAATCACTAATGTGTGTCAATAGTATCCACTCGTGGCTGAGGGAACGAAAAAGTGCATCAGGAAGATGCCTCAAAAAGTGACGACACTTACTGCTGCTCTCAATTAGATCACATCATTTGTCAGGTATTTAAAAGTACTTAACGGCATATTTGTTGACATTTAGGGTACCAATGCTGCCCCTTCATAGGTCACAATGCGTTTGAAAATATCCCGTGTCGGTTCAAGGTAATTGGCTTGGATAGTTGAAACTATTCATAGAGTTTCTTTGAATTTATTTGATTAAGCGCCGCTGATTGTACATATATCTATGTATAATGAAGCAGAGAGGCAAAAATATAAAAACAAGAAAAAGAAGCTTCTAGCCTTTGTTGCTTATTTAATAAGTACGACTTGGGCATTTTCGCAAACGAACATCCCCATCGTACTGGAACAGGCTGTGGGCAGAAAATCAGTGATCTGTTGTTAACCTTCGACGCACAACAAGTGATCCAAAACATAACGTGAAATCTCCTTAGTTCTTATGGACATTACCTGAAGTATAGTTTTTCTCGTTGTTCTTATCGTCATCGTCGTCGTTAAGACGAGTCGAAAGGTCTCTCGAACGGAGATAAACAAGACCAGCTACTATCGATTCTAAACCAACCGTTGGGTCAAAGAGAAAACGATGCAAAAGACTGTGGTCGCTTCCAATGGACAAAATGACACAACCATCTTTTTTCCAACAGCATTAGCAAAGCAATTTATGTTTGTCTAGTTACAAGCAAGCCAAGACGTTTTGTATCGATTGAATGATCTAAAAAAATTATTGGACCTTCCAAGAGCACTCTATATGGGCCGGTTCCAGTAACCCCGAAAGTAAAGCCTTAAGCATTTGCAGATTAATTGCTTTCTCTTCATAGGCAAACTTTGTAACAAAAAGTAACAAAACGTTGTAAGATCTTCGATAGATTGATAACTCAATATCAATATAGCAACACAATATTACACCCTTAACGGGCACCATAGTTTTTGTTTAGCCAGCACTGTTATTGCGTGCCTATAGATTCAATTTTGAAGTGTCCTAGCAATACGGTATTTCGTTCTATCTTATTATTTCTCTACGTACACACTTCCTAGAGGGACGATTCGATTTAGTCGTTCGACGAAAAGTAAACCTTATGAGACCTTTACTCACTACACAATGTCCCCTTCATGTACATCATTAAGAAAAATGGCAATTTATTTCCTATTGCTATATCATTTGGATTTGTCGCCGTGTTACATATATATATATATATATATATATATATATATATATATAGGCGTTTATTACGATAGTGGTTCCATAAATGATCAATGACAGCTTTTGTTGTACTGCAACGTTCACCAGCAAAATGTGACGCCCTGCGTAAAACATCCGTGAGATTCTTCACACTACGATGCCACGGGACGCCATGATTGTCCGTTACCGAACTTCTGAGCATAATAGACGTCGGTAGGAAAGCAAAAAATGACACGTTTTTCCCTTTCCTATTTTACCCCTCAAATTCTTCTCGCGTCGCAGTTCTATTTCGCCTCTCAGCTCATGTATTCCGTGGGGGAACGCGACGTCGGCATTCATACGCTTTGTTAGTCCATATTATTACTAGTTGCCGTTAATGTTATTATTGCATTTACAGTCGACAAGGGGGAACATCACAGTCTATGACCCATGAGCGGCACGCGCTTGCTTTGTGTGTGCTTCTTATACTGGGCTTATGAGCTTCAGTTCACCTTCATGTTTAATCTCCGTCGTTATGTTGAAAGTTGCCGTTTCTGAATCGTTGGCTCCATTCAGTTACTGTCGGGTCACAAAACTGAGGTAAAAGCCTGTAAAGCCTTCAATAGCACCCTACTAACAATGAGCTTAACAACAAGTCCACTTTTAATTTCGTTGGCCTAAAAACCGGTAGCAAGTTCGATGTTAAACTCGGGCTTGCACATATTTAACGTGGAAAGGAATAGTAAACTTGACCAGGTCAAGCTCGTGGTTTATTTCTTTTTTGAAAAAGATTTTCTTCTCTTTGTTTTTAAAGTTTTACAATTTTCTAACAATAGATCTACTTTTGCTTTTCTTTGCTGTTCGGATAGGATTCTACTTAGATCTATACTGGTCTTCCGACCGCTGTGAAGTGTCACTTGACGTTCTTGGCAAGCTTCCATAAGGGAGACGTATAAGCGAAATATAGTATTGTTTACGTTTAAAGTTTACCTATTGTGCGTATTCTGGGTGTGTCTTTCATTGAGCTGACACGAAAGTAGCAGCCCACCGCTCGTAAGCCCCATTGGGCCAAGGGTGATTAGCCGGTCAACGCGAGAGAAGCTGAGCTGACGTATAGATCTCCTCTTTTTTTAAGAACAGGATGAAGAAAGTGGGTTTCTTCCGGCTCGAATGGGGATTGCGCGATCGGTAGGGGGCTCCTTGGTGAGGGTAGCAACAAGACGTCGCACACGCTTCCTGATACACCAGGGAGCGCAGAGAATGGAGACCAGAGCAAAAACTTACATTTCGGTGACGTCTCAGAGCCTGAAACGACCCTTCCGATACGACTTGCAATCGCCATACTCCTTCCACGCGCACTTCAAGCAACGCTTTCTTTGCTTGCATCAGCTATCGCTAGGGCGGCGGCTGTTTCCGCTTCTGTGGAAACGCTACCGTTGGCAGTTCGGGCGGCATTAAAGGCGATGTGCTACTTCTAATTAGAGCTTGGAGGCAGCAGAGGATACAGGCGGCAGTGGATTCCAGGGAAAACCCTTCCGTCGTGGCCAGCTTCCTAGCTTGCCCCAAACAACTTATATGCCACAACCATTTTTTCTTTCAAACTAGAGTAATATGGGTAATAAGCCTGACAACGAGATGTCACTTATGGATAATTATGCACAAAACGCTAAGAAATGGGTAAAGAGTGTTGCATTGTAAACGCTATAGCGGTAGATGAATCATGCGGAAACGGATCGAACGTCCCCCCTTCTCGTACAGAATATTGCTGCTACTAAGATATACTTTGTATATCTAAATATTTTTTAACTGCCGTACCATCTTTCTGTACTAGTGACTGCCAATAATAACTAGGTAGATTAGAGTTTGTTTTCGAATATTTATGTGAATACGCAGTTAGGAGCTGTGAAAATTTGCTTTTGAAATAGTTAAGTTATATAAATAAATTTTCAACTTCCAGCTTCAATTAATTCTAGTTGTTCAATATGTACACGTGTTTACTATGGGACAATAATACTTAAGCATTGAATATATAAGCGTTGAATTGAATATTTTTCAAATGTCGTATTTTAATTCAACTTTTAGCAAAATTCAAAGAATGCCAGAGTACGTTGTATGTAGTGTTTTTGTTCCTTAGTGAAGAACTAGCAAAATGAGCATAAAGAGAAGTTGCTATATGGCCATACGTGGATATATCTTTCTACAGCAAAGCTTGTATAGCAAGACAAAGTTAAAACAGTACGAGGCCGCCATCGCTGCCGCTTCTGCTTTGGAAATCTTGAAACAGTACAAATTTAACGATGTATTGCCTTGTGTAAGCTCGATTGTTCTCGACTTCGCCGAGGATAACATCGATAACATTGATACCATCTAAGTTGAGGAACAGAAAAAGGCCAATAATGGATAATATCTGTCCCTGTTCGGTGTACAAATGTGGGGCTACGAATCTTCTAACCTTGGGTTGACCTTGAAGCCGAACCAGGCAAAGCAACATTCCAGCTTCCCAGATATGTACCCACTCGTGTAGGCAGCAAAGGGAGAAGACAGCTTTTTTACAATCAGCCTCTTGCTTTCAAAACTCCTTTTCGAGATGTGTGTTTTGCGTTCCTCACAGATGTATCTGGAGAAAGCCTAGTTGAAAATTACGCGATAATATGGTACGCTAATGTACTAAACAAGTCGGCTTCAATAAAACGAGGCAGTTGTTCAATACATAGAAGAAGAAGAAATTTTCAGAGGAAAGGGGCCTATGGATGCAAAAAGGAAGAAAAAATTCCCTAGAGTAGCTCTCTGATCGTCAGTAGTAATAAATAGCTATTTGAATAATGGGCAACGTAAAAATAACGATAAACGATTTATGTATTGCGAATAGAATGCGCAATCTGTTACTTAAATGATGCAAGACACGATTCCGTGAAGTTGAGGCCAGAAAGCTGTAGTAGGTAATATATAGCATTGTTGGGAATTTATGGTGGGGTGATGTCCTCCAACTTTAAATCCCACGTGGCCATCTAACCCGGCGTCCATATCCGCTAAATAACCAAGCAAACCTGAATGACTTTATGCGAGCGATTTGTAGATTATGGTTACTGGCCACCTATGACCTTCACGAGGAAATTTAAGGCACAAACGATATTCAATACGCTTATTAGCGGGCATTTTTGATCTGTCAAAAGTGGTCCCGCTTAAATCTGTCTTGTCCGACGGTCAAAAAAGCGGATCCTAGATAGTTGAAGATATGACTGTTAGTTACATTATGTTGATGTTGTCAAACAGCAGTAATTATATAACATAACACGAAATAACAATATAGTTTTAGGAAGTACGGGTCTGAAGTTAGCTACACATGTTTCTGATATCTATTTTCAATGCCATGACCATTTATATATTTATTCAGGATCTTGTAACAGGGCTCATCATGTCCGGTTGAATATTCTCTGTTCACAACTTAATGCAATCAAGTATCATCGGGGGAACTTAATCAATTATTTGCAATGTGTTCATTGAACCAGTTGGTTTATTTTTAGTATTTAGTATTATTATAAGCATTTTATCAGGTCTGTTCCACCATGCATTGGTTAGATAGAGTGTTTTACGAGACGCTAACTTCTTCTCGACAGGCTTACACAAAGTTATATCGAATGCATTTGTCCTCCATAGTCATTTAAATAACAAGTTGCTGTTATGCAAAGCATCAAATGGTTCCACATAGATGGATCCCGTGACTCGATGCCGTTAGCAGTACTAATAATTATATATATATATATAATTATATATATATAACTGATTGTATAGAATAGCCTATTTACACGTAGGTCGCAGTGACGGCTTTTTTATTCGATACAGTCCAGAACTCTACGGCACAAAACTTGGAAAACTTAGATAACTGCGAGATTTCTGGTACACGACGTGAAGCACGTACTCCAGCCGAATATAGTGAGGTGGGGTACAGCAGAGGCGTCCTTTCATCGGCTGAAGAGGAAAGTCGACTGAAAATTTGCTTAAACGCGCTTTATCTCCAAGTGGTAATAATGGTCATAATGACGACAACTGGTGGGGCTTACAGAACAAGATACTCGCCTCCTAAAAAGAGACACTCAGACGAATTTTACAATACTGATCCAAGAAGAGCAAGAACATTAGAGAAGAAGGATTAAAGCATACTTCTATATATAGAGAAGGAAAGAAAAGCTTGCAAAGGAGGGGCACCTTTACAGGCGGTTTACTAGGCTGCTGGTATCCAGTAGCTGGGAGAGGTACGGCACGTGAAGTTTTCAAAACGCGGGTAAAAACCTCGACGATGATGGCGACGATAGAGAATTGATGAACGTGCTGGGAATAGGGGACAACCGGGTATAGAGATAGCAAGCGTGGGAACCAGACGATAGGAGAGAGGGGGATAGAATGAAGAAGTGATGGTGGAACACCACCCAAAACCAGCCCACAGCGAACATTCAATTGACTTTCAGAGTTAGCATAAATCTAGAAGAAAGGGACGAAGGCTGAAGCCTCCATACTATAGAAGGAAAGCATGAATGCAGAGAAGATACCTTCAGTGAGCAGCGCCGCTGAGGGGGCACGCAAGAGAAATCCGCAAATAGCAGAGGCGCACGTAATACCACTTCGGCAATGTGGTATTACGTGTACCGTCATCGGGGCGGTCGCTGTTGCCGTCGTTGTCGACAAACGCGAATCGATACGCGCCGCTTCCCATTAGAGGCCATCGGCAGTTTTGGTAAATGGTAGCGCCATTGTACCTTTTGCTCACATTACCAGTGGTAAAATGTCCATTAACCGAGACTTGGCCTTTGCCTTTAAACACACGTCTTACCTCTTCTTTAGCTTCAGTGTATCGAGGATTGGGTAGCAAAACGTTGAAAAAGCGACTGAAGATAAATTGAAGGAAAGGGATTCGATTTTCATGCTCAACTTATTATACTGTAATATATGTATACGTATAGATGTGCTGATGGTGCAATGGCGATAATGAATAGGCTACATTCGAACCTTAGTACGAAGGTAGGGATTGATTCAATAATTCATTATAAGGTTGATATTTTACAATCATATTATTAATGTATAGCGTGTTTGGCCACTAAATGAAGACATATGAGGTGGTCGAAATTAAAACTGGGCGTAGTCACATGATTCTGCGGTGCGTTCAGCTATTTGAAGTAACACTTGACGGCATTTCCGGACGTATAACCCGAATTACCTCAATTAAAGTGTATGATTTGTTTGCCAGTAACGCATAACAAGTTATGGGAAAGAGCACCAATGCAATAGTCGTCCACTTTATTCGTTATTTCATATCATTCAGTGACACATTTCGCCGCCGCTGCGCCAACGACACCTTTTCTTTTGAGTTCTTTCTTCCTCATTTTTATTCTTGCTTCTTACACTTTTTTCTACGCGGATTGAACGCGGATGCCACTGACTAAGCGAGAACGAGATGACCTTGCCTACCGACTCATGGCTGTATGGGATTGGGTGGTAGTCCGAGGAAAATCAAGATTGCTCACTTCTCTAGCCACCGACCTTGCATTACATTGTTGGCTCTTGTCAAGATCTGCAGAGGGAAGAGTTCCAGCAGAGGAAGCCCGCTACTTTCACTAAGAAGAAACGGATAGGGAAGCAGATAGAACGAACAAAGTTGTATAGAAGATAGAACTGGCTGGACTAGATAAGGCCAGCCGAAGATGACGTTGGTTGGAAATGAAAAGAACGATAAAAAGTAAACGCAGACGTACAGGAGACGTCCAACTAGAATACGTTAGGATAAATTCCTAAAGCAGAAACAAAAATGTGAATGGGAGATTTAGGCAATGGCTGAAAAGTTGGTTTGCGATAAGGGGAAAAAAATATCAAAATGACAATTTAGCATCCTGGAAAAACAGGCCAAGGTTAGTCCGCAAAAGGCAAACAACAAGCGTCCACTGTTCGTGAAAAAGCAACGTAAAACAGATGAAGTCGATGTTGAAGTACTGGATAAAGAAAAAGGAATAGGAAAGGCTTAAAAATGGCGTCGTGTTTCTGTTCCCAAGGCTTTGTCTCGTCGAATTAAAAGAACCCCTACGTGTCAATGGGCTCAGGGACAAATCCGAGACTGTTATTATTTGCCTGTGCAAGCCAGCGTTATTATAGGTACCTATCCACTTTCCGAATATCGCATAAGTAAGCTAAGCAAAAGCAATCAATCATGTTGTTATGCTGAGTGTATTGGATGTTTAATACGCAACGCCTACGAGCATAGGTCCTTGTAATCGTGACCGAACATCTACACGTCCTATTTACTTTATGGGAATAAAAAGCACATATCAGGACTCTTATAAGACAACGAGGTTGGAGCACTATTCCTGTGTAGACTCCAAGTATTTTCTTTCATCCGTCAGACGTTCCACGCTAAACGAATTATTTACACAGTATGATTTTCGTAAGAATACTTTTTCATCACTTATATATTTTACACCAGGCAATATTGGTTTCATGCTTAACTTACATGTATTAACTCCAAAATACATATCTAAGCTAAGGGCGAACGTTCTGAACTATTACTTTGTGAACGCTTATATATATACATCAACGCTGTACCTGCGTATGGATGACTATATCTTCCATAAGGCGGAATTCTCGGTACGAACCGTCGATTAGGCTCAGCATGGGGATCCGTGGTCAGGCCTAACATTGTCCCACAAGATGAAACCGCTGAGTCGTGAGACGTTAGTCGCCACGCCACGCCCGACACCGTTATTAACACAATGCCCACACCTAAAATTATAGATACAAAGCGCGCTTAGTTAGAAGGAGAGAATCGGTTTTACGATGCTGCTTTGAGACTTTCAAGGACCTATAAATCCATTGCTTTATGTGGTAAGCTAGGGAATTTGCTATTTCTACCTATAGCTTGTTCGATTAGCGTCCTGGCAGCTGCTCCCATACCTCATATAACTCTTTTGAAGAAAAACTGCTAAATCGCACTGTTAAAGGAGTAAATTGATGAAAATATGGTAGAAGATGCCCAAACTATGTTAGTTGTTGTGGTTTTCTAAAGTGACCTGAACCTATTGTCATGGCTGAATATTGCTAGTGTATATTGAGTCATTTCAACTAGCTATTACTGAGTTTGACGGATAATATAAAAATGTGTTTTGTAGAAAAAATATATAAAGAAGGAAGGAAACCAACCCTCTAAGTTGATGTTTGTTTCCCCAGCATTTTCTTAACGATCCGGTCCCAATATCAGTACATTTCGTCACCATTGAAACAGTCGCCGTACCATAAAAAAAAAAAAAAAAAAAAAAGAAGCAACTCTAGGAAAGGGCCAGAAGGAGAAAATACAGAAGGAATGAAATCAATCCGTTCTGAGACTCGTGGTGGCAGTGTGAATATACATTGGGTTTCCCGTTCTGTTTACTTCAAACAGTGCAGACCGTAAGTAAGCGAGTATGTCAATGTGATGGGCTATAGCAAAAAGCTACACGCTTATTCGTTCATTGGCCAAAAATACATCGATGGTGATCGACGGGTCTATCAGCGACCCCGTCATCTATATATACCACTCCTAATATGAGCAATGATGCCAGACCTCCAGCCTTCGGCAGAAGCAATTTAGAAGTGTCTGCGTTGCTCACCTCGTTTGTTTTTTCGGACTGAACCGAAATTTAAAATTGATGATTACAGCGGCCATCGAGATAGTCAGGGCCTTCTCGCCGTTGAAGGCGAAACAGTTATGCATATTTTCGCATTGATTCGTACTCAGTAATACTCGGCATGTAACGCAGTGAACTACAGCTCATTCCCGAGTGGAAGGTAGGCGTCAGCAGAAAACCCACTTCATCTGTCCATCCATCCATCCATCCATCCAACTACCCATCATTCATTCATTCTTTCGACGTATCGCTTATGTTCCTCGTAGGCTATCATAGATTATCTTGGATAAATCTGATACGCTTCAATCTAAACTCGAACAACTTAGAATAATACATATATGAAAACTAAAATTGTACCATATACGAGTAGAGGATTGACACATCTTAAGCGCTATGCTCACATTTGCCTAATGGCCGTAGTGAATATTGTGAACTATACATACCGCAGCGCAGTGAACCATAGATAAATAACGAGTCCAGAACGAGGCTATGTCTGGATATTTTGCCATGCGATGTCCACAAAGACGGCAACAACGATGACAACAACGCGGCCCCTGTCGCGGTTGGATGACGTGAACGCGTCTGCATAGGTAGGGAGGGCGTTTGTTACACGCCAGTCCACCAACCATCTTCTATTACCCATCCATGCCAAGACGGTTTCTATGATCGACTTGATCGTTATACCCAATGAGCCCAACGATGACTATCACATCGTCTGGGAGTGCGGCCGGTCGAGCATCGAAGCAAACAACTGGTCAAGATGCAGCAGGAGAACGAACTGAGGAACATAAACAAAATAGAAAACCGTTTCAGCAGTCCCTGTTTTATATGCCCATGTCCTGCACATCTGCTGCTTTTGCTATTGCTCGATGTGCCATGCTGTGGCGTAATAGCCAGCACTTGTGCTGTACTACGCTATAAGCAGACGTCTTTATCTTTCAGTCTCTGATTCCCTTTCTGATGGAGGTGATTCCGTATATTTGCCTCCATTTGGCATGGTCGATCAGATCGGTCTGTTGGTAGCTAGGTGCTAGGTATCGGTGATGATAGTGGTGACGATAAGAGCATTGAGATGATGACCCCGTTCAGAGGTGACTGGCCCTGCCACACGTATTTCTAATGTATTTCCATATGCAGAAGCAATACCAGTAGCAGCGACGACAGAAATCCTGATCCTTTTACTAAGAGTAGTCGCGTTGTCGAACCGCGCTGGTAAACAACAGACAACACAGGGAAATCCCATTAAAAGGCGATGCATTTTCATTCTTTCCGCCTCTTCCTTTTGCCTCTCTCTATATCGAACAGTGGATAGTATTATTATTATTATTATTCTTATTACCATGATAGGAAGAAGGTGCTTAGAGTCACGGTAAAAGGCATGGCAGCAGAGTTCCAGTAATATAAGGGTAATCGCTTGCCATCAAGATCTTATTGTACGCTTTTCGACAACATTGAGCGCGAGGTAGCAAAAAAAAAACGTCAGAGATCAGTGTGCTTCTTCTGTCTTTGCGATCTTTTCTGGGGTCCTGTTGTACCCACTGGTTATCGTGTGTACTATTGTTACCCAGGGGAGCGGTTCTGGTCACACTGATCGCCAGTCTAATAGAGGAGCTACGAGCGCCGAACGTGCAACAATCGGTGATTTGAGTCTCAACGACGCGACATCACCAGCACCAGCGTTGATTATTCTAGCTCTAGCGACGACTCATCGATGCGGCGGTGCAATCGATTTATGGTAGTGCCATGAGTGCTAGTACTGTAGCAATAGCAGCATCGTGACGGCAATACCGTCTTCCTCGCCAGGTGCAACGCGGGTCAGCAGGCTGCATGTACATATATATATATGCTCGCCCATAGCGTCTCGCTGGCCAGCGGTTTTTCAGCCAATCGCACTGCTTTGTCCACTGCACTGCCCCTTCGACCCAACAAATGACTAGCGCGACGATAATCACTGGGGAAGCTGATGGGATGCCCGGATGGACAGCCGACACCGGGCCCCCTGTACGACAGGCTGACACTGGAGATCGGAACAGATGACTTAGATAGCTATGGCAGTAACTAGAATGTCACGCAGGCGATGATGATAACATGTGCCTCTAGATGAATAAGCGGACTAAAATAACCCTCGTGGAAAAATTTTGCGCAGGAGAGAAAAATATCGGCGGACCTGCATACGGTCGCGTCGCCGCCGTCGATGGGTCCGTTTGTTAGTCTTCACCTGTACGAAGTGCTTGCCTGTTAACTCTGGGAAGAGTTCTGTCTCAGGCAATAGTAAAATGATCTGAGCTGTCTCGGACGGGAATATTGGTGGGATGATGCGACCCTGTAACGAAGTCACTGTGTTCGTTTAGAATCTTCGATAAATTTCAGAACTAAAACGCAGAAAACTTTAATATAAGGTTTTTTTTTACTTACAAAGCTTGATATAAATCCATGACACTGCGAGAGGAAAGCATACAAGCGATGCACCATTACAGATATTCGACCAGTAATAAATCTGAACGTCGTTACGTAAGACAGTGGCTTGAAATAAAGCTGCTGCTGTCATCGTAAAGTAAACTCGATAGGATTGGTTTTAGATTAACTAATTATATATATTCATTGAACAGTAGCTCGTGCACTCGCATATAAATATCCGTTTGCCCTCGATGGAAGTAAATTATGAAATTATGAAAATAATCATTAAAATTGTTGAGTATTTTTAAAGGACGCCTGCTGGTCCATCATGGGGGCTGTACAATGATTTTCGATGATATGTTTCTTTCCTCTTTAATGTAGTATAACCACATTAAACATAGATTAAGCCTCACCCAGTCATCAAATGTAATTTAATTTTTTACTTAGATTAACATAAACTAGTGTAATTTTTTTTCTCAATAGCAGGAAAGACGCAAATAATGAGCCGCTGGGTCGTTCCCATCTTAACGTATCTAATAATGATGACGTCAAAAATCATGCAATGCCCATGTGATGTTTCCATTCATTGATTTGCATCTTTAGTCACGTGCAGAAAGGAGTCTGACAACAGGTCAGAGCAACAAATGACATTTACAATGACAAAAGATGGGTAGGAAAAGACTGGGTCAGATCGACGGACGCGCTGACCGTTGAGACCGTTGGTCCCATAGTTCACAACAGATTAGTTTTGTCAAATATGTCTACTTATCTATTACATACAACGTGAAAGAAAATAGGTATCAATTTGCTTGGGCCGGGTTGGAGGAATGACAATGTACATGTTGCAGTGTGGCGTGCACGCGTTCATAATCACTGAGCTTTCCAAAGTGGGGGTTTTATCCCATCATGATGATGTCTGTTCGGAGAGCGACCGGCCAATTAAAGAATGACGAAGGGGAGTTTGGCGATGCTTTATTCCATGGCAGTATTTAACTGTAGACAATACAATGCCTTTCAGTGCTGTCTCTAACTAAAAGTAGCTAAATTAACGAGTAGAGTTCTATAGCATTTTTGCATTCAGTTAAAAATTGCCCTCGCACCAAGTTCGATCTTTTATATGAAATTCACGAATTAACTGAGCCATATCGGTCAGAGTAGTAGTAGCAGCAGTAGCAGCAGCTGTTGTTGTCTAGTAAACACAGTAAGTGTAAGAAAAGTAATGAACGAAAAAGACCTATAGCGCTCTTTGATTTCGCTACGGCGTGGGGGTTTGGGTGGTCGCTAATGCGTGCCTTTGGAGCGTGTTATCATGATAAGCGAACCTATTACCACGCTGGTTCGGGTCCCAAAAATTATTACCAGACATTTAATTCTGAGAGGTAAAGAGTTAGGGAAGATAAGCTATTATTCAGACTTGTATAATTGCCACGCCATCTTATAGGTCTGTGGAAGGAACTCCGAGTGACTACAGCAAGGCCCACTCAGGTTAGACTCCCAATGATACTGTATCTGAAAATAGGTAATTCCAATAACTTTTCACATGGAGGTAACAACCAGAAATGTTGAATCAAAGGTCAAATGATATCATCGTCCTGTTTAGTTTGCAGCAACAAATTTCGAGTTGACATATTTATTACCAGACATAGCTGCTGTTATTGCAACCAGTAAAACTCAGTAATTCGAATAAAATAACGACAACGTGACAAAGTTTTCAGCGTCAGC